TATCGTAATTTTCGATCATGAATGGACAGGATGAATTCCGTCGTAGCAGATGCCTTACCCCGTCCTTATCCCATTGACGTCCGTCTTCCTCAGCACTGCACTTCCATGATTCTTGAACTGCTGGCCTATTCTACGTTACCACATCACGTCCGCCATTACCTTGTCATAGACTATGAGGGAGCTAGACTTGGAATTCTCTCAGGCCTTAGATGAAACATCATGGATGTCACTAGCAGTGATTTCTTCGTCAAGTTTGATAGGAATTCCTTAGGGATTTGAAGTGGCCATAGTTATTTCACTGCTTACGACGGATCCTCAGAACGGAAGTTTTTTAGCTGACTGCTCGTTGTCTAGTCCCTTATTCTATGTTGATTCCGTTCAGAGCGTCAACGTTCCGCATGACACCTTGTTGCTGAATGCATCTTATTCTCGATTGACATCTCGGCTTCCCTCTCCTGAACTTCTTAAAGAGTTTCCTGCAATGGCTGACTCCTTACGACGTCCTTCTCGTGGTGGTGATTCTTGGTCTGCCGTTCATCACCTAATACCGTCGCTCTCGACAGCTGCTCCACCCTCTGTTACATCAACTCCAATTCCTGCTTTGTCAGGAACGTCAAGTGATCACCTCTTCTCATCGCCTAAACAAGTTCCTTCCAGTCGAGCTTCTTCTATACCATCCATGCTTGCGACCGAGCTGCAGGAAAATAGTACTGTCAAATCTCTGATTTCAGAGGGGCTTCAAGATCCTGAGGAATCAGGAGGCTTTCCGTCGTTTCTTGGTGGTGAAGACCTGGACGTTGGGATAGTTGATGAAAGGGAGAGGCGAAATAATGGCAAAGAGCATGAAACTGCTACAACAGATGGTGATTTAAGCCGTGTTTGCAACATGCTGATGAGCCTATTTGCTAGCCATAGCTGCAGCAGCACACCACGCACCACTGGCAGCCCTGCTCAAGGGGTAACTCCCAGCGATCTAGTTACAAGGAGACGTACGGACGGGATGACGCTTCCACAGCAGCAGAATGTCCAGGCAAACAGAGGCGGCAGGGAAGGTTTCGACTTATGGAGAAACCTCCCAAACTTGAGGACCAGACCACCTCAGCAACGAGCCGGTGTCCTGAGGGAAGGCCAGGAGCGCCTGACGACCCACACACAACCTGGTGTCCGTAACAACAGTCATCGTCCCTCTGGTGGTATTCTTGAGAAGCAAGACGTGGCCAACCTTCTAGATGCAGCTTTAGCAGGAGCTGCACTACAACCGGACGAAACCAGGTGCGTAGTAGTCAGGAGTATGATTGTGCTGTGCTAATTCTTAGTTCTGTTCCAAATGACAGCATCCTTTGTCTTCTCAGATGGAAACGTCTCGGTGAAGGCCTGGAATCGCTGCTGTCTGGCCTGCAAGATCAACAGAAGGAAGAAAACGTCAATTACCTCATGCAGTGGCTGCAGCAAGTGACTGAGGTAGGCCCTTGCCAAATTTTAAGGTGAATTCCTCGTGCTGAGTCAAATAGTGTAATCGATTCATTCCTGTTCTTGTGGTTGTACAGGAACAAGATTCCACTTCTATGCAGGATTCTGACGTGGCGGAATGTGGTAATAATGACTTCAGAGCTACCTTTCTGCAGCAGCTGGAGGTGATTGCAGGATTCACCTCACACGAAGTGGCTTCCGGATCCAGTTACTTTGACCCTGTGGATCTGGTGGGAAGCTTTGGTGAGCTGAGCGAAGGGCCTGCTGCTCTGAACGACAGTGGCACGGAGTTGTATGCCAGCAACAGCAACAACAGCAACAGCAGCGATGGGCTTGGGAGATTGGCTTGTGTCTCTGATGCTGCTGGAAAGGCACGGCAGGGGTGCAATTCTGAACACAATGAAGTGCATCGCAATGGAGAGAGGAACCCTGCTGGAATAAGTAAGGAAGCTCGTCCAGGGAATGTGCATGTCAGGAGGAATGGAATTGGACGGAGTCATGGAGCTGAGCAAGAGATCATGGCAGACGACAGTGGAACTGAAGCTGAGAAAACCTGCAGCAATTCTGAGGAGGGCGAGGTGGACGAGGATGATGAGGCTCCAGTTGGATTGAGGGCGTACAGCAGCGCATGGAGCAACGTCCACAGTGTGAACTGGCTCGCGACCAGGCGCACCTCTGAAGATAGCTTTCTGGGGAACCGGTCCAGTGAGAGGAGTACCAGTGAGAGGCCTTCGCATGCTCGGAGGCCCATCGGCAGGACTGCTAGTGGAAGGAGGTCAACGACAGATGTGAAGGGTGACGACAGAAAGAGGTCCAGCAGCGTGAGTGTTCCTGGAGAAAAGAGCTTCGGACAACATGATGGAAGTACACTGGCTGCTGTGCAAGCGTCTAGTGTTCATGCGCAAAGACCACGGGGAGTTTCTGGTTCTGCTGCAGCTGGAGAGCTTTCAGAAGAGGAAGGGCCTTATCCATTTGTGCCACAACCACAGTTGCTGTCGCAGGATCGGTCTATCTCCCTCTCCTCCTTCCTCACGAATTTCTCATCATCAGATGCAGGCTTGCCTGACTTTGCTCTCTTTCCTCTTAAAGCATCCCCTGCTACATCATCCCACGGCTCCCAGCCTCAGTCAGATAATGGCTCACCCTGCCTTCCATCCTCAGATGACGACCTTCCTTTGGCTTCACTTTTACGCAAATCAACAGAGTGGGGAAAGCTGCAGTCGTCCTTGGGCTATGAAACAGGGGCTGTGGCTAGCTGCTCTTCAACGAGCATAGAACCTGGCCCTAGTGTGCAGCTCCCTATACTTCCTCCACCTCCTTCAACCCTTGTCCCTCCTGGCCTCGCTGCTTCACTTACAACCTCACCGCATCCTTGGTCCTCCTCTAATTCATCCGCGAGTCTCATGGCTGCTAGCATTGCTTTCTCACCTCCCTTGCCCTCCTCAGCCCTTGGGCTTCATGAGCCTGATAATCCAAGCACACTCCCCTCGTTACACACACTCACTCTGCCGCAGAACCTACTTTCGTTCTCCAATCCCTCTGCCTCCTCTGACAGTGAGGCTGGCTCACCCCTGCATCAAAGCACCAAGTCTCGGGAAAGTCTTCACTCGTTTTCAGATCCCGATGTACCTCTGCCCATGCTTCAAAGCACCAGCATGAACAGTCAGGCTGGGGAAGGCACCAGTGGGTTACTTCACAAGGAGGAGACGCCTGCAGAGGAGAGGAATGCAGCTACAACACCTGCTACTTCTGATACAAGAACCGCCATGGTCACTGGATTCATGGGGAATGTAGGCGCTGATACCATTGCTGGAACCAGTGCCTATGCTGATATACCTGGTCCAAGCAGCAGCAGAAGGACTTCCGAGATTTCTGGCATGGGATTGCTGTCAGGAGGAGGGATTACCTGGGACGAGACGGAGGAGGGCAGTACACTCTTGCACTTGGTGGGAGAGGCGGATGATGTGCGTGATGGTGTTTTTAGCATGGAGTCTGGAGGAAGTCTGGATGGTGCTGCTGGAGGGTCGGACGGGTTGGAGAATTGGTATGGTAAGGCGAATGGGGATGGTGGACCGACAGTGCACCTGTTGTCTAGCGGAGTAGTTTCTGAAGCAGCCGGAGCTGCAGCCAGCACAGCACAGTCTGGTGGTAGTGCATTAGGAGCTGAAGGCATGGATTTTGAACTGATTCAATCAGGCGGGCGGAATAAAGTGGTTGCAGAGGAAGCCACCCCTCGCCTCTCAGCTGTCCTGCAGGTCCTCCAGTCTGCCCGCCAGAAGATCCGAGCAGTCACTGTTCCACCGCAGCTGCAGCCATCAGCAACTAACGGGATGCTCCTGGACTTCCAGGAGACTGCCAAATCGTCCTCACTGCCAATGCCACGCAAGTCCCCGTTGGGGATTTCCTCCCACATAGATTATCCAGCAAGCCCTTCCACTGCAGAACCTCAAAACCCACTTACTGGTTCCTCTGTGCATCCTCTGGTGGCAGTTGCGAGTGGGGGAAGCTCTGAGCCTGGCCGACATTCGTCTTCCTCTCATACAGCTTCAAAGCTGCGGCAGCCAGTGACCACTGCACAGAGTCGCAATTCTTCTTCTAAAAAGGCGTCAGGCTCTGGATCAACACAACGGAGAGGTGATTTGCAGACTGCAGGTGGTCCTGGTCTTGAAGCTGGCACCAAGACAGTCACCTCCGTTTCTGCATTGAGGGATGTGGTTCGAGCACAGCGGGAGAAGCACGCTGGCTCTAGCAGCGGACGGAAGTCAAGTGCGGGAGACAGCAAGAAAGCATCAGGTGCTGATGCTGCTGCCAATGCTGGAGCAAGTGCTGCCATGGGTGCTGCTACATCCCTGGATGTAGCATACTACGAGGACAAAGGCTTCCAATCCGGTTCTGGTTCTGAGAGAAGCCGAAGCACCAAGTCACGGAGAGCTGGCAGTGGGGTTGGCAGTCGTTCTTCTAGGAGTGGGGAGAAGCAAGCAGGGAAAGTCAAAGTGAGGTCTGACTCGGTTGCTATGAATCAACAGGATGTCTCAACAGCGGATGAGGCGGATGAGAGCATTGTCCCTCTAAGGCGATCCAAGCATTCATTAAGTAACCAGCGCTCATCACCAGGGGTTCTGAAGCAGGGACGTGGTGGAGAGTCGTGGCAGTCAAGCCCATTGAAGTGTGCTGGAAGTTCCAAGTGATTATAGCAGTGCACATCTGTTACTTGCTGAGAATTAAACGCTTGTTAGCAACCCTAACTGAGCAGAATCAAACCATTTTAGAACAGAGAAGTCTGTTGTAGATGCATTTGAGATGTTGGTACCACGAGCCGCCCATAACGTGCAATGTTCGTTTCGTACCTACCAACACCAACCATACTCAGTGCAACCACGGGTGGGTGATGTAGGTCGTCACAAGGTTTCATGACACACCTAATTACCATAGATACAATCAGTAGCGAAGGTTGGACAAGTTTTGATTTTTATGTTTTTATATTTACTAAATTGAGAAACTCAAAACATCATGGGAAAGCCACAACCGGTTTAGTAGGAGTAGCCAGCCACGAACATGCCCTGCTTGGCCTCCTCAGCCTCACCCTCAGCGGAGTACTTGCCGAGCTGGGCCAAGGAGTTAGCCTTCGCGCGGATGAGCAGAGCGGTCTGAGCAGCCTCGATGTTCTCGGGCTGGCCCTTCCATGTCTTCAGCACCGTGTTCTGGAGAGCGCGGGCGTACGAGAACGACACGTGCCAGGGGTTGGGGGACTGGTTCATAGCGTTCAGGTTGAGGGTGGCCTCCACCTCGGACTGGCCGCCGGACAGGAACATGATGCCGGGGACGGCGGGGGGCACGCGCCTCTTGAGCATGTTCAGGGTGTACTCAGCAACCTGCTCGGGGGTGGCCTTGGTCGGGCACTCCGCGCCGGGGGTGACCATGGAAGGCTTCAGGAGGATACCCTCGAACATCACGTTGTTCTCGGCGAGGTAGTAGAAGGTCTTGGCCCACACCTTGGAGGCAACCTCCAGAGTCCTGTCAATGCCGTGAGCACCATCGAGGAGGATCTCGGGCTCGACGATGGGGACGAGGCCGCTGTCCTGGGAGATAGCGGCGTAGCGAGCCAGACCCCACGAGCACTCCTGGACGGCGAGCTCGGAGGGACCGTTGGGGATGGAGACGACGGACCTCCACTTGGCGAAGCGAGCACCCTGCTTGTAGTAGGCAGCGGTCCTGGAGGCAAGGCCGTCAAGACCCTGGCACCAAGACTCGTCGTTGGAGCCGGCGAGGGGCACAAGACCCTGCGAATAACGGAAAGGAGGAATAAGATGAGAACCGGAACCGGGACTCAATTCTACGTCGAAATATAATGCTGCGAAGCATTTGTTGAAACGCCGTGTTGGATCTTCTTATATTTGAAACGCTTCGACGCAAATAAACATCGAGTGTTGATTGAGAATTGTACCTTGTCAACCTTGATGCCAGGAACGACACCAGCGTTAGAGAGGACATCGACCATCTTCTGGCCGTCAACGGTGTTCTGGTACAGGGTCTCCTCGAAGAGGATGGCACCGGACACGTACTCGCCGATGCCGGGGGTGGCAACGAGCAGGGTGCGGTACGCCTGGCGGTTAGCCTCGGTGTTCTCAAGGCCGATGGAGGCGAGACGAAGACCGCAGGTGGCATTGGACTCGTCCATGGCGAGGATACCCTTGCCGGGGGAGGCAATGTGTTTCTGTAGAGACAAGCAAGTAAAACATTCGAAAAGATCGTAAGATGTCAGGAAAGTTGAATTATCAGATAAAAGAATTTGAATGCAGACTAAGAACGTTAACAAAAGAAGAGCAAATGATTGAGTGAAGGTGAAGAAATAATCAAGAATAAAACGAGTAATCAACTTACAGCGGTCTTCACGAGCTCCTCCTCGTATCCGCCGGCGCGGACGGTGAAGGAGACATTCTTGGCAGCCTGGGGAGCAGCGGCCTGGCGGATAGCCTTGCCGCAGAACTCGGAGCTGCTGACGGTCAGAGCCTGCTTGAGGGAGAGAGCCATCTTTTCTGAACTTAAATAAGTTCAAGGAGAGATAGGCTGTAGTTGAAGTTTCTAGCAGGCAAAGAAAACGCGTGGTTGAATGTGAAAATGGAGTCTTGGGATTATAAATGCAGGTGGGTGGATGAGGTGGATGAGGGTGGTGTGTGGGGTGATGGGGGATGAGGTGTTGTGGAGATGAGGTGGATGGAGGTTTCGTTTCGTGGGAGAATGGCCCGACGTGATTGGAGGTTACAGGAAAGGATGGGTGGTGGTGGTGAAGCGAACGACGGATGCGAAGCAGACGACTGGTTGTGGTGGTTACATCCTGAGAGGGCTTAGCCTCTGCGAACTTCGCAAGGCAGCAACGGCTTCTGAACGATGTAGTGGAGCCTGGCTGGGTAACTGGACGGAAGCAAGATGTTGGACGACACCCTGGCGACGCTTGTGGCTCGCGATGATTGATAGTGGACATAACATCAACGGTTGAAAGTCATCATCGAGCACTGTGGAGGGATCAAAGCTTGTCACGAAGTCTGTGAGCCACAGGATCTGCGAAAGCCCATTCAAAAGCGGTCATTCTGACATCGGACGTGGCAGTTCTCATTGACGATCGTCCTTCAAGGGTTGTAGGGTGGTCCACGTGGCGCCACAATGCCCTGTGGAAAAATTATCCGGTCTGGGTGAGTTGTTCTCATCCAAAAACTGCTGCTGGCGCCAGGTCAGAAAGCCGCCAAGCAATTAGGAAAGAGATGTTGCGTCAGATTTGGCACACGCGCTTCGAATCTGCTGATTCTAGAAACGGAGAGACTCGTTACACGCAACATTACCAAAAGAGAATGGTGACAACAGCGTTCAATAGAGGTGAAAACGATAGAAATCTATGCGCAATTATGATACTCCTTAGCCACATTGGACGGAGCAATGCTCCCCGAACAACTACCATTAACGATTCTCAAAATTATTGACAATACGTGCAGGAATTCCCAGAAAGGCATCAAATTCGTATTTTCTGGATGAGCTCAATATACTGACAGCCTCATTTTTCTCTCTCCCATGCCCCTGTAGTTGGGGCACTGCCACCACCTCTGGATTCCCCACTGGGCCTATGATGTACCGGTCTGCTGCTCCTGCTACTATAGCTGCAAGTGCAGCCGCTTGTAAGAGAGTCCATCCTCGTTGGCCCACTGTAGCGGCCACTACAGTACCTGAGATTGCACCAGCTACACTGGAATTAACCTGCAGGGGGATAAAGGCTAGAATCATCAGAACCAGGTGACCAACCAATGCCCGCATTACTCCGATAATAGAATCGACCAATCATCGCGCAGCCCAGTCATCTTGACAACTGCTCCATTCACTCAATCGTCTCTATCCGAACTCCCAGTCACACCTTAGGCCCAACGCCACTCATCTAGTCATCTCGAACCCAACGCTACTCACCCAGTCATCTTAACCCCCCAATCACTGAGAGGCACATCTAATTCCTGAAAAGAAAGCAGCCAACGAACCTTGCGTGCCATGCCATTCACCCCTGCTTCCCTACCCCAGCTCCAATCTCCTCTACCCTGTCACCACTCACCCACTCATCTCAGTTACAGCAACACTCACCCAGTCATCATCAACCTCACGCGCTGCGAGGCACATCTGGTACTGGCTCCCGAGAAAAGAGCAGCGTTGGCGGCATATGACCCACGGCAATCAACCAATCCTCTCTATTCAAGTTCCAACCACCTTGAACCCATCAACCCCACTCACCCAGTCGTCTTGTCCCCTCACGCGCTGAGAGGCACATCTGGTTCCTGAGAAGAGAGCAGCCAGCGTGTTGCGTGCCTTTTGTGCCACACCATTCACCCAACCCTCTCCAATCCCAACTCCAATCACCTCAACCCCACTGCCACTCACAGAGTCATCTTGACCCCTCATGTGCAAAGAGGCACCTTGTGCAGCATCTCAATTACTGGATCCTATCTATACCGGCTCCAACCACATTGAATCCAACACCACTCACCCAATCACCTCATTTTCACCACCACTCACCCAGTCATGTTGACCCCTCATGCGCTGAGAGGCACATCTGGTTCCCGAGAAGAGAGCAGCCAGCGCACCGAATTTCACACCATCCCCGAGTGCCGAGCCAGTCTGGGGTGGACACAAGCACGGAATGGGTCAAGGAATGGTGTGTTTCGCCAGCAACAGTGGAGAAGCACAGTACGGAATGGTGGTGGTGGTGGTGGTAGCCGTAGATTTCGAAATGGAGATGCGATTTGACAATGGGGATTGGTTGAGCCGCGACACGTGAGGAAGATGAAGAAATCAGGAAGAAGGGAATGAAGGAACTATCAGATTCGTTGCATGCATGGATACGCAAGGTACTTCAGCGAGATGATGGAGAGGGGGATAGATAAGAGGGTGACGGTGTAAACGATGAGCGTGGGCATTTATTGTTATGATTCATTTTCAAGCGAGTGATGATGTGTGTTGTATGGTGGTGAAACGGAACATGCATGACGAGCGTGAGGAACACTGGGGCCAAGGTGTGGCAAAAACGGCGAGTAAAAAGAGTGGATACGGAGGACAGGAGCACATACCACATGAGCGACGCGGAAGAGAGGAGAGAATTCTGAGAGGGGAATGTGGAAGGGTGTGGAGGGAAGGGGAGGGGTTAGTAAAGTGGAGTGAGGTGGGGAATGCGTAAAAGAGGATAGTTCGGTGAAGAAAGGTCAAGTTGACGAAGCAAAAAAAGACACGGGTGGGGGTTGGGGAGGGGGAAGGGGACTTCAAGAGGAAATCATCACACTGTAGTTACATTCTTTCTTGGATGGAATCAAAGGACAAATCAGGCCAAACAACAAAAGAATCAGCGCCATGAAATTCGTTGAGATATCATTTGCGAGCTTACCTCTGGGATCAGTGACACCACTGTAGAAACCCCACATAACTCCGAACTGAAAGACAGAGGCGTTAGGGTGGGAGTGAACGAAGCGAATGTGTAAAGACGGAAAGGCGGAGGAGAATTTGGGTCAGCTCAAGAACCGAACTGACAGAAAGAGGCGAAAGAATGAGAGCAAACGAAGGAATATGTAATGAGTTCCCAAAAAACAGATTCAGCGTAAGAATGAGAGCAAACGAAGGAATATGTTTACTGAGAATTCCCAACAAACAGATTTAGCGTAAGAATGAGAGCAAACGAAGGGATCGTAGGCGAAGGGAGAAGAGCCAGTGCTGATGTGAAGGTGGAAGAGCCATGGGGAATATGCACGTGATTAAAGTTGAGCTTTGAGACGTCTCAACTTTTATCACGTCAGAGTGTGGCGGTTGGGTGAGGGGAACTCGCAAGTGCACCCAGTAAATTCAACCTTATTCGCGAAATTGCTTGGGTTCGCGTTAGGTTCTGCATTCGCGACGGTTGCGTGTGTTTCTAACGATGCTGGGGAATAAAGATTCAAGTCATACAACGCGCGATGCTTCCGCTACTCCTCGAAACTGAGTAGTACCATCGATAGCAACAAAAACGCTCTAGCGGAACAGCATATCAAGTGAAGACAACTCACGATGCTCCCGCTGACGCCGGCTGTAGCCGCTTACCGTCGCACACGGCGGTTTCACCTCTGACGCCTTTGTCATGATGACTGCTGAACGCTGAACTGTTGGCTCTTATCTTAGTGTCTTCGACGGAGAAAATTCGAAAGCCGGGCAGTTGGCTGGTACATGTATTCAATGAGGAAAGATCAGGCGCTGGGACATGAGTTGACTTATCTAATGTTTTTCAACACGATAGTGACGAGAGCTGGCCGACGCGTCGAATTGCTGTGTCGGCTAGCTGACTCGGAGAGCATGCGATGCGAACATGAAAGAATGGTTTAGCGAGCTTTGGGGACGAAGGCACACACACCCACAGAGGGCCGCTATGCCAGGAATTCGACTGGATGTGGACCCGATTTGGGCTCGTTGCGAGTTTATCTAGAAGTACACAGTTCCCACATCCAAGAATGTCTGTATATGAAGAAGGTTAATCGGAATGTGTCACGTACCTTAACTTTCTTTGCTTAATAAACAGCAACCCTCCATGAGAATGTCTATCTTGGTTGCCTTCGTTGAATTTTCTTGCAATCAGTAAAATTTGCAGTAGTTTTTAAGCTTCCACAACAATAGAACTACAACGCATCCAAAGCAACCAAAACCTCGTCTAGGGCAATTGCCCAGTGCACCCAATGAGCTCCACCCTAAAAGAAAAGAGAGAACGTACGGACATGGTCAATATTTGGGAGGGGGGGAAGGTCAGGAGAATGGAAAATTGAAGAGGGTAGTTGATGACAATGGTTTTGTACCAACGAGTAGAGAGAGAGGGGGGGAGGGGAGATGGAGAGGATGTGAGGGTACAGTAACAAGACATGGGAGTGTTAAAGCAAGTGCTGGTACCAAACATAGAGATAACAAATGCGGGGCTCTGAAGTCACGCAGGAAGTGACACAAAGATAGCTGATTGCTGTCGGTAGTAAAGTAAGCTAAAAAGGCCCAGACATCTAAAAAACGGCATGCTAAAGAACGCTCGATGTTGACAGCACCTGAAAAGCAAGGCAAGGCACATCTCGACTCATGGACCTGGCAGAAGGCTGATTGTTGAGACGTCTCAAAAGTCACGTACTGCGAAGGGCTGGCGGAGGGGGCCATCACAGGAGAGCTCGATTGTGCTGCCGTCAATGAAGGTGCCGTCTGCAAAGACCACCTGATGAGCGGCTCAGAGGGGTGATGAGTGGTGTGGGGGGGTGTGGGAAGGGTGATGAGAGGTTTGGGAGGGGTGATGGGGGGTGTGAGGGGTGATGAGGGGTGTGTACAAGGGCGGGCGGAGGGGGCCGCCACAGCAGAGCTCAATGGTGCTGCCATCGATAAAGGTTCCATCGGCAAACACCACCTGGCGAGCGGTTCAGAGGGGTGTTGAGTGGTGTGGGAGGGACGATGAGGGGCGTGGAAGAGGTGAGGAGGAGTGTGTACAAAATTTCGGAGCACGTAAGAAAAAATGCACATAAATGAAGTGTAGGCAAGCATATAAGTTACACACATCTTCTGTACAGGATCGAAGTGTACTCACATCAGACTCGTACCCTGCTGTGACCTGTGCTGTTAGCTTGTTTTAGGCCGCAACGGCCCACCGCCGCTGAATGCACTTAGTGCACACACATGTACTGTTAACTATTTGTGCTGTAAACGAACTGAAGCACTTACCTCCGACTCATACCCTGCTGTCACCCCGGCTGTGGGCTTAATATAAGCCCCAACAAGGCACCATCTTAGCATGACTTGGTGTGAAGTGCAACAAAGAGCATGGCAGCATTCGTTGCACTCACCTCCAACTCATACCCTGCAGTCACCCCGGCTGTGGACTTCATGAAGGCCCCAACGCGGGATGCAATGCAAGCAAGCACTTAGTGCACATAAATGCTATGCAACTCAAACGTTCGGTACACGAACGTTGTGCACTCACCTCCGACTCATACCCTGCTGTCACCCCGGCTGTGGACTTCATGAAGGCCCCAACGGGGGATGCAATGCAAGCAAGCACTTAGTGCACATAAATGCTATGCAACTCAAACGTTCGGTACACGAACGTTGTGCACTCACCTCCGACTCATACCCTGCTGTCACCCCGGCTGTGGACTTCATGAAGGCCCCAACGGGGGATGCAATGCAAGCAAGCACTTAGTGCACATAAATGCTATGCAACTCAAACGTTCGGTACACGAACGTTGTGCACTCACCTCCGACTCATACCCTGCTGTCACCCCGGCTGTGGACTTCATGAAGGCCCCAACGGGGGATGCAATGCAAGCAAGCACTTAGTGCACATAAATGCTATGCAACTCAAACGTTCGGTACACGAACGTTGTGCACTCACCTCCGACTCATACCCTGCTGTCACCCCGGCTGTTGGCTTGATGTAAGCCCCAACAGGGCACCGCCGCTGCACAGCTTGGCAGAAAGCGAGGAGGCAAGCTGGCGAGGAGAGGATGACAGCCTGGAGGAGAATAGTGGGGAGGAGACGGAAGAGGGAAAGACAGTTGATTTCGTACATATGCAATCACACACGCTGCACGGCTTGGCACAAGGCAAGGAGGCGAGCTGGCGAGGAGAGGATGACAGCCTGGAAGAAAAAATTCAGAGAAAACACATTTGCTTCCACACGTTTTGCATTCATACATCGTGCTTTCGCACACCCTGCAAGGCCTGGCAGAAAGGTGTATTTTGAGGCGCCTAAAAAAACGCCTCAATTTTCGCACACCCTGCAAGGCCAGGCAGAAAGTGAGGAGGCGCGCGGGCGAGGAGAGAATGACGGGCTGGAGGAAAGAGAGAGGGAGGGGGCCTCGAGAGGCATAACAATTTGAGGATTCAGAGGAAGAAAAAGTGTTGCGGAAAGAGCAGAGTCGGCAGTAAGAATTAGGAATTGGGTGGCAGGAAAAAGAGGGGATGTGTGTGTGTACGCGGGTTTCTCTTTTGTGTCATCGTTTAGCAAAAAAACAAAAACAGTAGCTGCCTGTGTGTCCGCCCCTCCCCTCACCGTACCTGGTGATGTCTTTCCGCCATGCTCAGGGCCGAGGGTGACTTTCGAGGTGGCTCAAAACCCACTGTTTCTCCTCATACCACACTACACCACACCTGGATGATGTCTTTCCGCCGTGCTCGGGGCTGGGGGTGAACGGCAAACCCTTCATTCGCCATCACCTCTGCTACGAGTAGACTGCCCTGTGGAGGGGCGAGAGGAAAGGGAGAGAGAGGAGAAAAGACTTGGCTTGCTGTTGGTGCAGCCGTTGGTGTAACCCTTGAAACATACACCACTATGAGACGTCTTTTGAGTCGACTCAAAAGTCACCCTGTTGCTGCAGCCCTTGAAGCATGAACCACTTTGAAGTGTCTTCAAACTGCTTGGAGCAGCCCTTAGAACATCAACCACCTTCCTTCACTCTCAGACCATCGCCCCATCCCCCTTGTCTCCATACGTTTAGGCACCCACCCACCCACCCACTTGCCCCATTCCCCTCGCTTTGATCGCCTCGCCTGTCATCTGTGGCATCAGGAACAGCCCTTGGAACATAAGCCGCATCACCTCACCACTTGTCTTCAGTCACCCCCTCTCCTCCTTTCCCTTCATCCCTTCATACCATCATGCACCCACACTCTTGCCTCACTCCCCTCACCTTGATAGCCTCGCCTGTCATCTGTGGGAGCAGCCCCTAGAACAGCCCTTGAAGCATCAACCGCATCACCTCCCCACTTGTCTTCAAGCACCCTCCCCTCCCGACCCCAGCCCCCCCCCCCCCCCCCCCCCCCCTTTTCCCCCCTGTCCTCCTCCCCTCACCTTGATGGCCTCGCCTGTCATCTGCGGCCCCAGGAACAGCCCTTGGAACATCAGCCGCATCACCTCACCACTTGTTGCTCCGGCGCCCGAGCCTATGCATGGGGGTGAACAACGAGGAGGGACGAAACAACATGGTGACTTTTGAGTCGACTCAAAAGTCACTCAAGAGTCGACTCAAAAGTCACTCAAGAGTCAACTCAAAAGTCGCCCGAGCCTATGCATGGGGGTGAACAACGGGGAGGGACGAAACAACATGCAGGTGGCAATTAGTATTCACTCAAACAACCACATGCATATTCACATTAAAGCTATCACGCATGCGTGTACATATGCATATATTTAAACAAAAACAAATAAAACCTTGCATGCATGTGCATGTATATATTTATGTATATATATGTAATGTATAAATGTATACATACTGATGCCAGGAGCAGCCAGCCTAGCAGCTGCAGCCTCCACCAGGTCCGCCCTCCCTGCCACGTACCCCCCACTGGGGGCAATCGTTCCTCCAGGGTTCTTGATGAGACTCCCCGCTATAAGGTCTGCACCCTGGCATTTGGAGGAGAGGAAAAGGACAATAAGGAAGGGATAAGGGAGTGGGATTCGTTGAGGATGCGAGGGCGGGGAGAGTGGGAGGAGTGGGAGGAGAGTGCAGGGATGTGATGATGCAAGGAAGGGGAGCAAGGGGAATGAGGATGTGAGGGAGGGGAGAGTGGGAAATTGAGGATGAGAAGCGGAGCTAAACCCTGCCTATGGAGATGGTCACTTTTGCAATGCCCCTCTATCTCTTCCGTCCCTTCTATCCCCTCTATCCCGCTCCATCTGCTCACCACGTGGGTCGGCTCTCTCTCTTCAACAAACTCCCCATAGCAGTTGTCCACCACCACAATGCATGACGGGTTCTGAGTGCCCTCTGCCCATGCCTTGTGGCCAGTGCGGTGATACACTGCATTGCCCCTCCATCCTCTCACTCACCACGTGGGTCGGCTCTCTCTCTTCCACGAACTCCCCGTAGCAGTTGTCCACCACCACAATGCATGACGGGTTCTGAGTGCCCTCTGCCCATGCCTTGTGGCCAGTGCGGTGATACACTGCATTGCCCCTCCATCCTCTCACTCACCACGTGGGTCGGCTCTCTCTCTTCCACGAACTCCCCATAGCAGTTGTCCACCACCACAATGCATGACGGGTTCTGAGTGCCCTCTGCCCATGCCTTGTGGCCAGTGCGGTGATACACTGCATTGCCCTCCATCCTCTCACTCACCACGTGGGTCGGCTCTCTCTCTTCCACGAACTCCCCATAGCAGTTGTCGACCACCACAATGCATGACGGGTTCTGAGTGCCCTCTGCCCATGCCCTGTGGCCAATGCGGTGATACACTGCATTGCCCCTCCATCCTCTCACTCACCACGTGGGTCGGCTCTCTCTCTTCCACGAACTCCCCATAGCAGTTGTCCACCACCACAACGCATGATGGGCTCTTCTGAGTGCCATATGCATGTCATGTGCCATGTGTCTTGTGTGCCATGTGCCATGCACCAATTGCCGTGCTACCATACATTACCCCTCCATCCTCTCACCACGTGGGTCGGCTCTCTCTCTTCCACGAACTCCCCATAGCAGTTATCCACCACCACAACGCATGACGGGTTCTGAGCCTGCATAGTAACCAGATGCCACGCCATGTGCCATGGGTCATCATGCCATCATGCATGCAATCATGCCACCATGCCACCTTGCATACAAGGGAACGAGTTGAAATGACAAGGAGTGTGAAGGCCTCAAAGCCCCAACCTTCCACCCTTCAAATCCCAACCTTCAACCCTTCAGCCCCAAGAATCCCACCTTCACTAAATCCCCAATGCGCCCAGTTTGCTCCACTGTAAGCGTCTCTTTTAGCAAGGTGAAATTTGTTTGTTTGCTTGTTTGTTTGTTTGTTTTTTAAATTTCCTTCTATTCAGAGTTTCTCTAGAAAACTCAATGCGCACATTCCCAGTTGGCAACTCACCTTCACTATTTCCACAATGCGACCGATCTGCTCCACAGTAAGTGTTTCTCTTAGCGAGTACCCACACGAGCGCTGCACCAACACACAGCGCGTCCGCTGCTCCACCGCACCTGGCATGCTGAGAGCATCCCAGTCGAGCCCGCCCTCTGGGGTCAACTGTGGATACATGGAGACAAGGTGAAGGGAAGGAGACAAGGTGGGGGGAAGGAGACGCACTGGACCAGCACACAGCGTGTGTGCTCTGCAGCCACCCCTGGCGCTCTGAGTTGACTTTTGAGTCGAGTTGACTTTTGAGTCGAGTTGACTTTTGAGTTGACTCAAAAGACGCGCTGGACCAGCACACAGCGTGTGTGCTCTGCAGCCACCCCTGGCGCTCTGAGAGCATCCCAGTCCATACCTCCCTGTGGCGTCAACTGTGGTTACATGGGACAGGAGACAAGGCGGGGAGAAATTGACGGGCTGACGGGGGAATAAACCAGGAATCAAACAGATACATTTTTAGGAGGTACATGATTTGCATGCATGCATGCATCACCTCTTCTGTCCCGCAACTGGCTCTTGTATGTGCTGAAACGAGACCCAAAAAAAATCCAATAGAGCCCCATGTAGGATTCGTCTGCGGCTGGCTCAACTCTGGCTCTTCTATGTGCTGAAAGGAGACCCAAAAAAAAAACCTTTGAAGAGCCATGCCCCAGTGTGTCTCTGAGTCTCTCTGTGTGTGTGTGTGCTACTCCCTGTTGCTCCAAAAAAGAACACTCATGTGACTTCCCATGGATGCCCTACTGTGTCTGTCCAGCAAACCGCACCTCTATCTGCCGGTATGACACCCCAAACGCCCTCAACGACCCCTGCCCTATGCATAGTGAAAGTATGTGCGTGCACGTGCACGTGCACATGCATGTGCGCGTGAGTGTGTATCTGTCCAGCAAACCGCACCTCTATCTGCCGGTATGACACCCCAAACTCTCTCAACGACCCGTGCCCTGGCGTGCCTCTGAGCCCAATCACCTCCTCCATCGTGTCGTACGGTGCCCCTGCCACTGACAGCAGCTGCGAGGAGGTGGGGGGGTTGGTGGAGGTTGGGGGAAGGTTGAGGAGAAAACAGAATGAGGGAGTGGGAGTGCGCCTCTGAGCCCAATCGCCTCCTCCACGTATCGTATGGCGCCCCTGCCACTGACAGCAGCTGAGGTGGGGATAAGAGGGGGGGAGGGGGGGTTGGGAGGTGAGAACGGGTTAGAGGGAGAGACATAGAGGTGGGGGTTGTGCCTCGGAGCCCAATCGCCTCCTCCACGTATCGTATGGCGCCCCTGCCACTGACAGCAGCTGAGGTGGGGATAAGAGGGGGGGAGGGGGGGTTGGGAGGTGAGAACGGATTAGAGGGAGAGACATAAAGGTGGGGGTTGTGCCTCGGAGCCCAATCGCCTCCTCCACGTATCGTATGGCGCCCCTGCCACTAACAGCAGCTGCGAGGACGAGATGAGAGGTGGCGGTGGGGGGGGAGGGGGCCGGGGAGTTGGTGAAAGAGGGATCAAGTGGTGTGGCGAGGAAGAGCAGGAGGGGCGAGCGGGAGTGAGGAGGAGAGAGTGTGCGGGGCGAACGGTTGCGATGGGAGGAAGCATTGGAAAGACCAAAATCAAGGCCGGCAAAGGCCTGTGATGAGTCTACTGTTGAGTCGACTAAAACAAAACTTTAGACTCATCACACGCGAGCGGGAGTGAGGAGGAGAGAGTGTGCACGGCGATGGGTTGCGAGGGGAGGCAGCATTCCAAAGACCACAATAAATGCCGGAATATGCCAACGCACTGGATGCCGGAGAATGCCACCGCACTAGATGCCAGAGAATGCCACTCACCTCGTCCCCAGGGCGCAGAACGGCATAGAGGGCAGCAGCGATGGCGTGTGTGCCTGAGAAGAACTGGAGGGCGGGAGGAAGGGAAGAAGGAGGGCAGTGGCGAAGAGGGGAAACGAGAGGGATTTGCCGTGAAACCATGGAGGGCAGGAGCAATGGCGTGTGTGCCTGAGAAGAACTGGAGGGAGGGAGGAAGGGAAGAAGGAGGGCAGTGGCGAAGAGGGGAAACGAGAGGGATTTGCCGTGAAACCATGGAGGGCAGCAGCAATGGCGTGTGTGCCTGAGAAGAACTGGAGAGAGGGAGGAAGGGAAGAAGGAGGGCAGTGGCGAAGAGGGGAAACGAGAGGGATTTCCCGTGAAACCATGGAGGGCAGCAGCAATGGCGTGTGTGCCTGAGAAGAACTGGAGGGAGGGAGGAAGGGAAGAAGGAGGGCAGTGGCGAAGAGGGGAAACGAGAGGGATTTGCCGTGAAACCATGGAGGGCAGCAGCAATGGCGTGTGTGCCTGAGAAAAACCGGAGGGAGGGAGGGTTGAAGAGGGGAAGGGGCGAAGAGGGGAAAACGAGGAAAGCAGGAAACGGGAGGGATTTGGCGTGCAAAGATGGAAGGCAGCAGCGATGGCGTGCAACCATGGAAGGCAGCAGCGATGGCGTGCAACCATGGAAGGCAGCAGCGATGGCGTGCAACCATGGAAGGCAGCAGCGATGGCGTGCAACCATGGAAGGCAGCAGCGATGGCGTGCAACCATGGAAGGCAGCAGCGATGGCGTGCAACCATGGAAGGCAGCAGCGATGGCGTGCAACCATGGAAGGCAGCAGCGATGGCGTGCAACCATGGAAGGCAGCAGCGATGGCGTGCAACCATGGAAGGCAGCAGCGATGGCGTGCAACCATGGAAGGCAGCAACGATGGCGTGCAACCATGGAAGGCAGCAGCGATGGCGTGCAACCATGGAAGGCAGCAGCGATGGCGTGCAACCATGGAAGGCAGCAGCGATGGTGTGCAACCATGGAAGGCAGCAACAATGGCGTGCAACCATGGAAGGCAGCAGCGATGGCGTGCAACCATGGAAGGCAGCAGCGATGGCGTGCAACCATGGAAGGCAGCAGCGATGGCGTGCAACCATGGAAGGCAGCAACGATGGCGTGCAGCCATGGAAGGCAGCAGCGATGGCGTGCAACCATGGAAGGCAGCAGCGATGGCGTGCAACCATGGAAGGCAGCAGCGATGGTGTGCAACCATGGAAGGCAGCAACAATGGCGTGCAACCATGGAAGGCAGCAGCGATGGCGTGCAACCATGGAAGGCAGCAGCGATGGCGTGCAACCATGGAAGGCAGCAGCGATGGCGTGCAACCATGGAAGGCAGCAGCGATGGCGTGCAGCCATGGAAGGCAGCAGCGATGGCGTGCAACCATGGAAGGCAGCAGCGATGGCGTGCAACCATGGAAGGCAGCAGCGATGGCGTGCAACCATGGAAGGCAGCAGCGATGGCGTGCATGTCTGAGAATTAACTATGATGGGAAAGCGAGGGGTCTGAAGATGTCAATCGGGGAAGCATAAAGTACGGCCTACACCAACACTATATGTGCAAGTACTACCTACCTGCACCACACCCCCACCCTCCCTTTTTATTTTCTTCCTCCCCCTTTCTACCTGTGCACGCACACACGCTGCCTCTGCCCCAACGATTTGAGCAAAGGCCGAATCAAGCGCCTCTCTGCCTCCTGCGTCCCCGTGACCGTACCCTGTCGTTCCACTGAAATGCTGATGCAGGGTGAAAGGGGGACGCGGGGCAGTTGAAAAATTAAAAGTGAGGGGGAAGGGAGAAGGGAGAAGGGAAGCCAGGAACGGGGAAGGACTTGGAGTAAAGCTGCTCTCTGCTCTAGTTACTGTGTTCCCGTGAGTGTATCCCTTAGGTGCTGCAGGGTGTTTTTGAGAATTCTCAAAAACACCCTGCAGAAGGGAAGCCAGGAACGGGGAAGGACTTGGAGTAAAGCGGCTCTCTGCTCTGATTACTGTGTTCCTGTGAGTGTATCCCTTAGAGCCACTAAAATGCTGAGAGGAAGGCATCTAGTCGAGAATTCGCTTCAGGTTTACCACCAACAGCTGACGTACCTCTCACCTTTCCCCCCTTGTCCCACAGCAACAAGGCATGCACACATGCATATTCACATGCCTGGCAATGCGTGCAGCAGCAAGGCACACACACACGCATACTCACATGTCGCCCCACGCGTGCAGAGGCGAAGGCATCGAGAACGCGCTTCAAGTTCACCGCCACCAGCCTGTCCACCTCCGCGAATTCGCCTTCCAGGGAAGCTGCCGCTGCTGCCACCTGGGGGAGGGGAGAGGATGGGATTATACTCCAATGAGGTGTGGTGAGGGCGTGAAACGGGAGGAGATGAGTGGGCGGTGGAAGTGGGAGTGGGGAGGCCTGTCTTTTTCCCCCAGATTCACCCCCAACAGCCTGTCCACCTCCGCGAATTCGCTCTCCAACGATGCAGCCGCTGCTGCCAGAGCGCGGAGTGACAAATACTGGGAAGAATACAGTGACCCGGGAAACACTGACCACTGAGAAACACATACAGAACGGGGAAGTGACGACTGGGCAGTGGAACTTTTTGGACAAGGGGAAAATGTAGAATAGGGGTAAATGGAGAGGAGTGCGCGACTGATGAGTCGTATTTACAATCCGGTTCAAAACTTACCTGGGGAGAGAATGGGGATGCGGAGACGTAAGAAGTGGTTGTTTCGCTGGCGGCGCCCTTCGTTGCTGGAATCGACCCACTAAGATCACCTCCGTTACTATCACCTCCTGGCTCGTCGGCTCCCAGTCTCTCTCCCTCTCGTGTGATCGTCTCTACCGCGGATCGCTCGCCTTCTGAGGCGCATGGCAGCAGATGGAAGCGGCGTGAAATACGCGTTACACGCTGCTTCGAGAACTGAAATCGCCCAGCATTCCGCTTGGTGCCGAAGTAGTTAACACGTGAAGCCGCGGCTGACGTGGCGACGACGCCACTAAGCGTATGGGCGATCGACATGTGGACGATTGGGGAACACGAAAGGCGACACTAGCATGCGAAATAGACGAACCAAGGCTGATTCACAAGGGGATTCGCAGCTTATATTTTCGAGCTACGAGGGGAATGCGAGGGACAGCAGCGCCGCAATAGCAGCGGAGTCCGCTGAGAATTCTGCTCAAAACCAGGATACCATTCGGTATTATCGAGTATGATCCAGTGATGATGATGGCAGGCTAAAACCAGAATCTGGGAGCGCGGGAACTCTGACATATGACCGTTGGGTACAATAAAGCCGAATTGAAGTTTTACTGTACCAACTAATTGCATTGGTAAAAACATGCTTGGCTTTGTGCATGTCTGAAAAAGAAATACAAAACACTTATAATACATACCATGGTCCATGCAACTCAGAAACGAAACAAAACAAGCACAGTAGAAGAAAAGTCACCCTTTCAGAAACCAGCAGAGCCAGCCATAGGAACCAGCAGTTCCAGCCTGCCTGACTCATACCATACTCACCAAGAAAGTTGGGTGGAAATATATAAAATCCTAGCACTCCCTATCGCCGTCCCGCATTCACATCACAGCAAGCTCATCAGTTGCTTGGCCGGTGGAACCAGCAGTTCCAGCCTCGCACAGACTATCCTCACCAAGAGCAGCTTCAGTTCCAGCATTAGGCCCGGTCAGGATTGCATCAGCTGCAATCTCAACAGCAGTCCCAGTATCAGTAGCATTAGCTACAGCAACAGCACCAGAAACAGCACCAGAAATAGCACCAGCAGCAGCAACAGCAGCAGCAACAGCAGCAGCACCAGCAGGCACAGCAGAACCAGCAGCAGCAGCAGCAGGCATGAGCCCTGATGATGACAACTCATTTGTTGCATCACCAACGCCTGTAGCAGAGCCTGTAGCACCAGTGCCTGCAGCAGTGGCTACAGCCGCAGCGTCGGTAGCAGCTTCAACATCAGACATCACTTTTGTACTACCTGCTGTGGGAGACAACATTGACTGCTGTTGTTGCTGCTGCTGCTGCTCTTTCTGTTGCTGTTCGTGTGGCTCCACATGTGTCATAACCTCTGCCGGCACGAGTGGTTTCAGCTCTTGTTGCGCATTCCCAGCCACACTCCCTACGCTGGGTAGGACGAGTTGGTGTTGCTGACCTGCATTCCGTTGCTCTTGCTGCTGCTGCTGCTGCTGCTGCTGCTGCAGCTGCTGCGGCTGCTGTTGTTTCTGCTTGCTTCCTGCTGCCCCTAGCACAGAGGCAAGGTAAGTGCTTGGAATCTCGACACTCACTTGGGGTGGAGTTTGAGAGGTACTCTGAACCTGGACAGGTCCCCGAGAGAGGATTTTTTTAGGGATTTGCAACAAAGGGGACGAGGAGAAGTCGGGGATAGGGACGGAAATGACAATAGGGGAGGAGGAGGTGGTGGGCTGAGGAGCGGCTGAGAGAGTATGTGCTGCTGCTCCTTCTGCTGTTGCTCCTTCCCCTCCTGCTGCCCCTGCTAATCCTGCAACTCCTCCTGCCCCTCCTCCTGCTGCTACCCCTTTTGCTGCCTCTATTGCTGCCGCCACACCTGCGGCAGCTTCTGCAGAGGTGGCAGCAGCAGCCGAGCTTAAAACAGACTGAACAAAGGTCAACGGGGAGAAGTGAGATACAGGAGAGAGTGGATGGGAAATTGTTGCCAAACCTCCCCCCCCAGACCTTCCCACAGGCTGCCCTGGTGAAGCCCCGAAGCTCCCTGCCGTAGCTCCGGAACTCCCTACTGAGCCTAACCTCGGGACTAGTAAGGTCGAGCCTAGCCTGGGGACTTGTAACGGCGAGCCTGTTTTAGCGACTAAGGAAGGAGAGGCAGCAGCAGAAAGAGGTAGAGTGCCCGATGTGGCAGCAGCAGCTGCTGCGGCGGCTGATGCTGACACGGGGGGGATGGAGAGAGGAGTGGCGAGGGAAGGGGTTGGGGCGGCAGCACGTTGGGGAGTGGAGGGCGCTACAGTGCCGAGTAGCAACCCCCCTGATGCAGACGGCAGGCCGGAACCAGAGGGATAGGTGGCATTGGCGCCAGCACCAATGGCAGCACCAACCACAGCAGTACCAGTACCAGCAGCAGTACCAGTCCTAGCCGAGGTGGTGGTACCCCCAATAGTGGCAGCAGTGCCGGCAGGAGCAACCCCAGCTGCAGCCGGATAGAACCCGGCAGGAGTAGTGGCAGCAGCAGCATCAACACCGCTTGACGACGCCGCCACGCAGGCAGTTGAAGCCACCGGCACAGCAGAAGCAGCACCAGGCTCAGCAGCAGGAGCAGTGGCAGCAGTAGCAGCAACATTAATGGCTGTAGTTCCCGCCACACCAGCAGCCATAGACCCAGAGCAACCAGGCAGGGGCTGGGACGGGTTGGGGTCTATGCCCGCGTTATAGAGCACCCCTTTAAAGATGTGCCCGCCGATCTTCACACAGGCATGGTAGCCAAACTCGAAGTGCCCGTCCACGATGCCTGTCACCCGCACGCTTCTCAAGAGGGTCTGAGCCACCACCTCTGCTGGGAGTGCTGGTGCGAGGGAGAGAGGGGGGTTGAGAACGGTGAGGGGGGGTTAAGTGAGATTGCGGAATGATGCGCATGTGAGAAGCCGGTCTTGACACAGGCGTGGTAGCCAAACTCGAAGTGCCTGTCCACGATGCCTGTCACCCGCACGCTCCTGAGGAGGGTCTGAGCCACCACTTCTGCTGGGAGTGCTGGTGTGGGAGAGAGGGGTTGAGAGCGGTGAGGAGGGGTTGACTGAGAGCGTGCTGAGCAGCACGCTCCTGAGGACGGTCTGAGCCACCACCTCCGCTGGCGTGGGGCAGACGAGTTGTGAGGGGTGGGACGGGGTCAAGTGAATAGTGTCCCAAGACATATTTGATTCTTCATCGTACATAAGGTAAGAGCAACGCAATTGTAGAAATAAATAAGGCCCAATCAAACAACTATCTCACCTTGAGTCTGCTGCGCAGGTGTTTCTGGAAGAGCCAGCAACGATGGCTGCTGCAGAGTCTGCTGCTGTGCCACCTGCTGTTGCTGCTGCTGCTGCGTTGGTGGCTGCAAAGATGGCTGCAAAACCTGCTGCTGCGACTGAACTTGTTGTTGCTGCTGCTGCTGCTGCTGCTGCTGCTGCTGTACAGGAGCCTGAGCTGGCGGCACCCCCACCTGCTGCTGGTACTGAGACGGAACCAGCAGCAATTGCTGTGACTGGCCTTGCCCTTGCCCTTGACCATGAGCCTGCATACCCGTCTGCGCACCTAGCAGCGGCAACGCTCCTGCTGTTTGCGGCTGCTGCTGCTGCTGCGAATGCGGCTGCACGTGCCCCTGACCGGGCAACTGAATCGACAACTGACCAGGCACCTGAGCCGGCACCTGCGCCTGGGGTATAGGCACCACCACAGACGCCACTGGCCCTCGCGCAGGCGACTGGGCCATGACAGGTGTCGACATCCCACTGGCTGGCAAAAAACTTGAGCTTCCCAACGCCCCGAGAGCACCAGCAGGCGCCACCGCAGCAGGCCCCATCGCAGCAGCGACAGCAGCAGTAGCAGCACCAGCGGTAGCAGTGGTAGCAGAATACGGCACGGGCATGGGTATGGGTCCCGCCACGGGCGACTGTGATCCGCTGCCTCGCGCCCGCTTCGTCCGCGGCGGTACAGGCCGCATCGTCGCCGCCATGGCCCGCGCGGCGGACTCCATCTGCTCGCGCTTTCTCCGCTCCGCCGCGGGGACCCACGTGCTGCGCACGTGCGTCGCGCAGTTGAATCCGCGCGCCTTGCAGCACGTGCGGCAGCGGCGGTACGGGCAGTCGCGCTTGGACGCGTTTCCGCACTCCATGCACGAATTGCCCTCGCGGAAAACGGCGGGGCCGAGGGGTTGGATGACTGGGAGAGTCACTACTTGCTGCTGACCTGACAGCTGTTGCTGTTGCTGAACCTGTTGCTGCTGCTGGGAGTTCTGCAATTGTTGCTGCTGCTGCGGCTGAGTCCCCATGGGCAACGGGACTATAACGGGAGTGAGCGGCTGTTGGAGCTGCTGTAGCTGCTGTTGTGACTGTAGCGGCTGCTGCGGCTGTAGCGGCTGCTGTTGCTGTAACAGCTCCAGCTTTGGCTGAGATAGTTGTTGCTGATTTGGCTGCTGCGATTGAGTCGGACCGCCAGGGGGAGCTGGAGGAGGAAGAGGGGAGATAGGTTCGCCATCTGCTGCAGTCGCCATGGATGGTTACCCCACCACTCACGAAACCGCCGGTCGCAAACACACCACTCACAACCTCCTTATTTTGATTAATGCAAAACGAAACTCGCTAGCTGTATTCTTGGCCTTTCCTTGAAGGGCTGTTGTGCAAAACGACCGTCTTTACTTTCAAAGATCGGCGATCATGCTTGTCCGGCAAACAGGAGCGGCGTGTGAACGAACGACCTATTAGACCTTCATATCCAGAACGCCGTTGCAACCTGAAATAAACGGGAGAAAGAACACCAATATTAGCTAAGATGAAACGAGCGGGGAATGGATGGGATAGTTACACACAACATGGTGTGGTCGATGCGAAATTCCTAACAAACGTTCGACGCGTCGCGCAGCCAGAGTCAGCACGGCGCGGCGACTCGCGAGGACGAGATGCGGCACATTATAGTGGATTCGCAAATTAAAGGCGTGTTTTGAGTCAACTCCAGACATATTTCACGGCACTTTCGAAAGCACGCAGCTAAGGAACGGAAGGGCAGGTGACGGAATTATGACAAAAGGAGTTGAAGTAAGAAACGACGGGAACCCGCGTAACGGGTAAGGATATATAAGCGGACGAGAAGAATTTAGCCTTAAACGTTTCGCCTGGCGAAATGGATAAAGAAGGTGAAAAGGCCAGAAAATGACGATGAAGGATAATCTAAACAATAACTCAGGAGATTAGCCAGAGAAAGGAGTTGCTACAAAAGCTTACGTCACAAACGTAGGTGCTGAAAGGATCCACGCAGCGGAAGCGGAGGGAGGGAGGGAAATCGGTAACTCCTAGGTCAGTCTAGCCTAGAAAGCTACGACTAGCTTCTAGAATGAGGTGGTAGGGAAACCCTAGTCCTAGATAACCTGCAGAGCTAGCGCTCTGCGCCCTCGGATTGGCTGTCGAATATTTCAGGAGGGTAGGCTAGGGCAGGCTAGGCTGGGCAGGGTGTTGCAGGAGACGGATTGCCCGCTAACAAATTTCGTGGCGTTACAAAGAGTTACAATGCGTTTGAGAGTGGCTTCTTCAGCTGCATTCCAGCCCTGGATTCTCACGAGGTCAGGGCAGGGGGCAGTCCGCCTCTCCACCACCGCAGAGCTGGTGTTGCAAACTTCCAGTCCAGCGCATGGATTGCAGCAGAAGGGCGGTTGGGCGGCGGTTTGTGTGGTTGGACTGCTCTTGGCTGGCTTCGCTTGCTTGGTTGTTTCGCTTCCTGCTTGTGGCTTGTCGTTGCAAGTCGGGACTCGGGGTAGTCTCTCAACGGTCAAGAGAAAACAACTTTCTACACCACCGGGAAGATTTTGCTAGCGTGTAGGTTTGTGCTACACGCTCAACACTAGCCGAGGGTTTCGCTTCTAGGCCCGGTTCGGCAGGCATTATGGCCATTATGGCCATTCTGGGCATTTTTAACGGGCCCCCAAAAAATGGCCCCTCGAAACAGCTGCGAAGTCAGACTGTAGCTGCAGGTTGCTTCGGAAGAATGGGCCCGACTGTTCGGTTGGCATTAAAACCCGCAGCCTGAATTACAAAAACGAGTCAACGATTGGTTTGGGAAGAGGTTGGGGAGAGGTGCGGACGGGTGGGTGACACTTTCGGGTGGCGAAACCAATTTGCGAACACACAAGTGTCGCAACATTGAATCTGGGCGACAGAAACCAATACAATGGGGAAGGGATGTCACCTTCAGGACTTCTGTCGACAAAAAACCAGCACACCATTACTAGCTACTAACTTAGACACAAAATGATCGAATCTTAGTTTCCTCCAAGCGGCAGCACACAAATTCAGTAGCTACATTGCGCGAAGATTCTTACATTAGGGTGTTATAGCGAACACATTTCAGACAACCGGAATCCCTAGGTGCAGCGTGGCCACGCAATCGAAGCACGGAGAATAGGCGTGAGGAGATGAGAAATTAGCGCTTTGCCCACCTCGCGACCCTCGCCCATCGGCCGACGCCCTCGCCGCCTAGCCGACCGTCGACCTCGCTTCCCTCGCCCATCGCTCTCGCTTCCCCCGCCAGTCGCTCTCGCTTTCCCCGCCTACCACCCTCGCGGAAGCCCGTCCCCCTCGCCGCTTCCCCGCCCGCCGCCCTCGCTTCCGCCCGTCGCCCTCGCATCCGCCCGTCACCCGCCCTTCCGCCCGCCGTCCTTCCTTCCCCTCGTCGCGCTCCCTTCCGCCCGTCGCCCTCCCTTCTTCTCGTCGCCCTCCCGTCCTCCCGTTGCCTTCCCTTCCGCCCTCCGCCCTTCCTTCCCCTCGTCGCGCTCCCTTCCGCCCGTTGCCCCCCTTCGTCTCGTCGCCCTCCCTGCCGCTCGTCGCCCTCCCTGCCGCTCGTCGCCCTCCCTCCCGCGAGTCCCCTCGCAATCCCCGTCTATCTCTCTCCCCCGTCGCCCTCGGTTTCCCCGCCGCCCTCCCATCCACTCCTCGTTGCCCTCGCCATCCCTCCCTTCTCCCTTCTCATCTCGCACACTTGTCACCCCCCCTTTCCAACCCGCACATACACCCTTCCCTCTCCCCAATAATCGCCTTTCACCCCCACACTGCTTACCTCTCTCCCTCTTCCCCCCATCAATTGCCCTGCTCCCCACCGTCCTCCCCCCAGCTCTCTCCCCGGCATCTCTCCCGCTCCCCACGTCCTCTTCCCTGTTTCCCCGTATCCCCTGCAATGCTTCCCCCCATCTTCTTCCCTGTTTCGCCGTATCCCCTGCGCTGCTTCCCCCCATTCTCTGACTTGCTTCCCCCCATCCCTTTCCCTGCTCCCCCCCGTCCACTCCCCTGCCTCCCCCCATCCCCGTCCCTGCTTTCCCCCATCCCCTTTCCTGCTTCCCCCCGCCCCCTCCCCTGCCTCCCCCCATCCCCTTCCCTGCTTTCCCCCAACCCCTTCCCTGCTTCCCCCCATCCCCTTCCCTGTTTCCCCCCATCCCCTTCCCTGCTTCCCCCCATCCCCTTCCCTGTTTCCCCCCATCCCCTTCCCTGCTTCCCCCCATCCCCTTCCCTGCTTCCCCCCATCCCCTTCCCTGCTTCCCCCCATCCCCTTCCCTGCTTCCCCCCATCCCCTTCCCTGTTTCCCCCCATCCCCTTCCCTGCTTCCCCCCATCCCCTTCCCTGCTTCCCCCCATCCCCTTCCCTGCATCCCCCCAACCCCTTCCCTGCTTCCCCCCATCCCCTTCCCTGCTTCCCCCCATCCCCTTCCCTGCTTCTCCCCATCCCCTTCCCTGCTTCCCCCCATCCCCTTCCCTGCTTCCCCCCATCCCCTTCCCTGCTTCCCCCCATCTCCTTCCCTGCTTCCCCCCATCCCCTTCCCTGCATCCCCCCAACCCCTTCCCTGCTTCCCCCCATCCCCTTCCCTGCTTCCCCCCATCCCCTTCCCTGCTTCCCCCCATCCCCTTCCCTGCTTCCCCCCAACCCCTTCCCTGCTGTCGACCTCTCTTTCCCCCTCCCGTCAACCTCGTTTTTCCACTCCCGTTGACTTCACTTTCCCGCGTCCGTCGCCCTCGTTTCCCCTCCCCTTGCTCCATCTGTTTCCCCTTGCTCCATCTGTTTCCCCTTGCACACTCTTTTTCGCCCTTCTCACACTCTTCCCCCTCCTCTTTGTCCACCCTGCTCACTATATCCCCCACTACTCACTCTCTTTCCACCTGCTCACTATCTTCCCACCAGCTCACTCTCTTCCCCCCTCCTCACTTTGTTAAGGTTTGCTCACTCTGTTTCACCCTTGCTCACTCTGTTTCACCCTTGCTCACTCTGTTTCACCCTTTCTCGCTCTGTTTCACCACTGCTCCCCAACCCCCTTCTCTTCTCACTCTCTTCCCCCTTGCTCCCTCTCTTCACTTCTGCTCACTCTGTTTCCCACTGCTTCCTCTCTTCCCCCCTTCTCACTCTGTCCCCCGCTGCTTCTTCTCTTCCCTTCTGCTCACTCCTTTTACTGTCTTTTCCCCTTCACTCACCCCCCCCTCCCCCAATGCAGGGTACAGGTGCCCAGCACCAGATTTGTTCTTTTATAAAATTGAGTGATTCCCCTTGTACGGTACAAATAGTACTAGTATATTATTTGTTGGACCCCTAGTTAGTGGTCATGTGTATGACTGCTCTGAAGCTCATAATGCCGTATCATACGAAACTATCCAATACATGGCATGTCTATACGTCGTGAGATATCAAGCAGCCAACACATCCCAACCAGATGCAGAGAAGACACCTGCAAACACAAACCAGGAAGTCAGATGTGACGTGGCAGAAGTAGAAGGGAAGCAAGCATGCAAAAGAATGACAACTGAGAAATGATGAAGGGAGGAATGGGAAAATAGAGAAAGGGAGGAAGGGAGGAAGGATGGGGTGTGGAGGAGATGGGGTGGGGCGGAGTTGGTGGAATGGGGAGTGGGTTGGGGCGGAGATGGGGTGTGGAGGAGATGGGGTGAGGAGGAGATGGGGTGAGGAGGAGATGGGGTGAGGAGGAGATGGGGTGAGGAGGAGATGGGGTGAGGAGGAGATGGGGTGAGGAGGAGATGGGGTGAGGAGGAGATTGGGTGAGGAGGAGATGGGGTGTGGAGGAGATGGGGTGAGGAGGAGATGGGGTGAGGAGGAGATGGGGTGAGGAGGAGATGGGGTGTGGAGGAGATGGGGTGAGGAGGAGATGGGGTGAGGAGGAGATGGGGTGAGGAGGAGATGGGGTGTGGAGGAGATGGGGTGAGGAGGAGATGGGGTGAGGAGGAGATGGGGTGAGGAGGAGATGGGGTGAGGAGGAGATGGGGTGAGGAGGAGATGGCCCGCCGCCATCCGCCCACAGCGCCCCTAGCAGCTCCCCGGTGGACGCAAGGCCGAGGACAGTGTGGGAAACACCTGGAGGGGAGGGGGAGAGGATCGGATGGGGGAAGGACGGATGGGGAGACGATCAGATGGGGAGAGGACGGATGGGGAGAGGATGGATAGGGAGAGGACGGATGGGGAGAGGATGGATAGGGAGAGGACGGATAGGGAGAGGACGGATAGGGAGAGGAATGGGGTGGAGCGGAATGGGGTGGAGCGGAATGGGGTGGGGCGGAATGGGATGGGGCGGAATGGGGCGAGGCAGAATGGGGTGAGGGAGAAGCACGGCGGGAGTGGCGGGGCGAGTGGAAAGGGACGGGAGGGACGGGGAGATGAGGGATGGGGAGACGAGGGATGGGGAGATGAGGGATGGGAGGATGAGGGATGGGGAGATGAGCGACGGTAAGATGAGAGACTGGGAGTTGTGGGATGGGGAGGGAAGGGATGGGGAGGCGGGGATGGGGAGGTGTGGGATGGGGAGGGAAGGGAGTGGGAGGCGGGGATGGGGAGGTGTGGGATGGGGAGGGAAGGGAGTGGGAGGCGGGGATGGGGAGGTGTGGGATGGGGAGGGAAGGGAGTGGGAGGCGGGGATGGGGAGGTGTGGGATGGGGAGGGAAGGGAGTGGGAGGCGGGGATGGGGAGGTGAGGTATTAGATATGAGGGATGGGGAGGAGAGGGATGGGGAGACGAGGGATGGGGAGATTAGTGATGGGGAGATGAGGGACGGGGAGATGAGGGATGGGGAGATGAGGGACGGGGAGATGAGGGATGGGGAGATGAGGGACGGGGAGATGAGGGATGGGGAGATGAGGGACGGGGAGATGAGGGATGGGGAGATGAACGCGTATGCGACGGGAGCGAGGAATGCCTTCTCGGTCGAGGGGAGGGTGCGTGCGTGTGTGACGGCAGGGAGATGAGCGTGGGCGACGGATGGGGCCGAACGCGACGGGAGGGAGCGAGCGTGGGCGGGGGAAGGGGAGTGAGCGAAGGCGACGGGAGGGGAATGAGCGTGCTTCCCGTCGGAGTGAGCGTGGGTGACGGGAGAGAGTGAGTGTGGGCGACGGAGGGGAGTGAACGTGGGCGAATAAGGGAATGAGCGTGTGCGACGGAGGGGTCTCGCGTGGCCGAGCGAGGGGGGCAAGTAATGGTCTCCCCTGGTGGGGATTGAGCGTGTGCGACGGAGCGGACCGTCACGACAGGAGGGTAGTGCGGAAACGCGGCGGGAGGGAGAGAGCGTGGGCGGCGGAAGGGGAGTTGTCGCGATGGGGGGGGAGAGGAGATGGGTGAGGCGGAGATGGGTGAGGCGGAGATGGGTGAGGCGGAGATGGGTGAGGCGGCGATGCGTGAAAGGGAGATGGGTGAGGCGGCGATGGGTGAGGCGGCGATGGGTGAGGCGGTTTGCGACAGGAGGGAACAGGCCGTGTGCGACGCGCGAGGGTTCGCGTGTGCGATCGAAGGATTGCGCGTTGGCGATGGAATGGGAGTGAGCGTGGGCAACTGGATGGAGTGAGCGTGGGCGACGGAAGTGACTGATCGTGGGCGACGGTACGATTGCGCGATCGCGATGGAAAGGGAGTGAGCGTGGGCGACGGGAAGGTCTTGAGCGTGGGCAGCGGAATGGAGTGCGCGAGGGTGACGGGACCGAGTGTGCGTGCTCGTTCTCGGGGAGTGCCCGTGGGCGACGGGATGGAGTCATCATCCGCGACTGCTTTAGCTAGAACACCGTAGGGAAACGTGGTAACGTGAACTAGGCCCGCGTTTGGCATAAGCGACGGATTGCAAGAATATCCGCACGGTCCTAAAGCCCTATGGCGGAATTTTCAGACATGCGCTGGATTTGCTTGGAAGCCTGGAAATTCTAAGCTATGGCTGTCGCTCTAGCTGCTCAGACTAGGCATTTTCTGTCGACCTGAATTACAAGACACAGTTTGGTGTGCACACCACAGCTAGAGTGGTTGCGCGGGAACCGAGCGACCCTTCACTGTGCTGCCTGCGACTTCTTTCACGTTTTCCAGGTGGAGACCTGGTAACCACCCTGGTTCGGGAGGCCTGGTGTTGGTCCGGAAGGTGAGGTGTTAACACCTCCCAACTTTTCTTGTAATTCAGGCTGCGGGTTTTAAATGGGCCTGGATTAATGGCATCAACCCAAAATGACACTTCGCAGAAGCTCGCATGCAGCTGCGCTGATGGAGCCCAGAATCACTGTACTGGCAGCCCGGGCAGCCCTGCAAACCAGTGGTGGACGTCGAAAAAATTCGGGGAAGAGAATCTGTGCGTTCGATGTGTTAGTGATGGTGTGTTGGTGATGTGTGATTTTCCAGCGGGCAAGAAGAGGGGCATGAAAGACCGGGATTTGTTTTTCTCAGGGCAATGTGTGATTGCCCCGAATCACTGTGACCCCGTGTGGTGCGGGCTCTCGAGACCGCATGGTGCGGCGTATCAGAAAATGGACCATTTGCCTGGGAAATAGAGTTCGAGGAAGATTCCTCTGGTAGAAAATGCCAGCGTCAAAAGGGGTGTTCGGCTGGCATTCCATTACACCGAGTCCTCGCCAACTTCACTAGGGCCAATTTCACCCCTTCCCTTGTCGTTACGTGGGTCGGTGGGGTTGGGTGCTGCGCGGGGGCGTCCCCTGCAGACTCCCCTACATAAATGTTATGGCCAATTTCACCCCCCCGCCACTACAGACAAGATTGACCCCCTCGGTGGGGGCGTGAAATTGCCGAGGACTCGGTGTATTGTCTGGTTCGGTGATGATCCGCTTATATCGAGCCTAGATAACCTTTCAGGCGCTTATCAAAAAAGGTTTCAGGGTGGTCGGTTTACTGTAGCCCATCCGGGGAAACCGTTTTTTTAATGCCTGCCGAACTGGGCCCTAGTGAATGATGAATCCAGAATTGAGCATGTATCCATGGGTAGTAGTGAAATTTGAAAGTTGCACGCGCACGACACGATTGCTGGAGGTGTTCGTCCTTTCAGCGACTTTCGGGCGACCATTCTTGTCCACACCACGTCAGTTCACGCGTGTGAATTATTCTCGATAATTGCACACCCGTACCCCCTTTTTTTAAGGTGCCCAATACCGATTCTGGCTCGATACGACGGACACACTGAAACTCAGGGACTATCAGTCGACAGCGAGATGCAGTTTTTCTTGAAACTACAACATGTGTTCCGAGTGAGGATGGGGTTGAGGTTGCGTGACTGAAGTTTTTAATGCTATCGTCTATTCGCGACTGGGTTTCGGAACGCTCACCAGCTCTTCAACATTCGCAGTCAACTACCCTCCGAGAAAGTCTGCACCCCGGGTATGTACCCCCAGGGGGCGCGTTTAAGGGGTGTACTGCGAAATTCACTTGTGTACACGCGACACACTGCATGCATCTAAACCCGAAAACTGGTCTGTATTGAATGTACACGTACACATTTGGCTTATCAAACGCCCCTGCATTTCTCCTAACAGTTCGTGTTCTGTGACTGCAATACACCCTGTTTCTCGCTACACTGAACTGTGCCGAACAGGTGCAAAACCTTGTTATCTTCGATTTGCCTAATTGAACCATACTGAAAAATAAATCAACCACCGTGAACCGTGCTTTTCCCATCTTGACTTCATGATAACCGAATTCACAAATGGCGAGAAAGAGGGTGTACGTATGACCGAATGGTGGAGCCTTTGACTACCCCGTAGAACAGTCGCTACCAAGCATTTCATAGAGGGCTTGTTTTCCAATATGTTGGAAACTGAAAGTTGTTGCCTATCGCAGTCGCAATCGCTATTGCTTTCATATTTTCGTCTGTGTGCTGAAATCCTGTGCGTCCTAAGGAGAAGCCTGAGATCGTAAGGCGTAATTCAGGTTCTACTGTACCTTGATAATTTAGGAAACATCTCATTTGAACTCTGCTCCATTCAGGGTGACAAACGCCAAACCTTCGAATTCGACCTCCCGCTCCCAGGCTTCCCTCCCCCTCGCCCGCCCAGTCCCTTTCAATTCGACACAATTTCCAGATGAGCAGTTCGGTTCGCACGAGTCAGTAGCTTGGGATTCGAAATGAACCATTATTTGCTCGTCATCCCTACATTTGCCATACTAAAATCACTACGTTCGGTTCTAGAAATCTAAAAAAAGGCGACCATTTTCAGCCGTCGGCCAAAACCCGCGCCAGGGCACGAGGAAGCTGATAGTACATGTAAATCATGTAAATTTGTAATAACTGGCGAATACTTTTTGAGGCGTCTAAAAATTGGAATAATTGGCGGGCCGCGTCAGTCATGGCGGAAACTCGACGCGGGGAAGGCTGTAAATAGTTAAGTTATTATTTTTGGCGGGTGTTTTTTTAAACGCCTCAGAATTAGAATAATTGGCGGCGGATAACTGTGGCGGCGGCAGCTATGGCGGAAACCCGAGTCAGAGGCGGTTGGAACAGGCAGACGACACGCAATGCGAAGCAGGCTCGGAATAAAAGGGAGCAAGAGGATGATGATAGGAAAAAGGGAGGTCGTGTAATTTGCTCCGCCGCCGTGCTATTCCAGGGTGAGAGTGAGGACAAATTCCGCCGCGTACTACACGCCGCGGAATGCCACGCGGCGATCGCGCTAAGCGCGGCCCGCTGCGCAGGTCTTTCCCCAGCCCCGTTTCCCCCGACCCCACTTCTCGCGCCGCTTCTCTCTGCCCACGTCGTCCCCACGCACGTCTTTTACCACTCTCTTTGTCCCCTCCTCCGCCTTTCTAAGGCGGCGATTTGCCGTCCCCCCATCCACCCGCCGTCCTGCCATCCGCCCCGCCGTTCCCCCACCCGCCCCGCGCCGTCCCCCCACCCGCCCCGCGGTTCCCCCACCTGCCCCGCGGCCGTTCCCCTATCCTCCCCGCCGTTCCCCAGATCCGCCTCACTAAGACGAGTACCCATCCGCCGTCCCCCCGTCCGCCCCGTCGTCCCCTATCCGGCCCGCGGTCCCCCCATCCGCCCCGCGGTCCCTCCATCCGCCCCGCCGTTCCCCATCCGCCCCGCGGTCCCCCATCCGCCCCGCCGTTCACCCATCCGCCCCGCCGTTCCCCAGATCCGCCTCACTAAGACGAGTACCGCCCCGCCGTCCCCCATCCGCCCCGCGGTCCCCCCATCCGCCCCGCCGTTCCCCCATCCGCCCCGCGGTCCCCCAACCCGCCCCCCCGTTCCCCCACCCGCCCCGCCGTTCCCCCATCCGCCGACCCCGCACCCCGCTCCGTCCCCCATCCGACTTGCCCCGCCAATTCGGCGGTCTCCACTCGCTTTACCTAATCTGCTTCCCCCTTTCCATCCGCCATCATCCATTTGCCTGCCCCAATCCGCATTCATCCCACCCCCCTTCTCCGATCCGCGTTCCCCAAATCCGCCTTCTCCTCATTCACCTTCCCGTCGTCCAATTTCCCGCCATCCGCGGCCCGCTCATCCGCCGTCCCCCTTCCGCCGTCCCCCGATCCGCTCGCCCTACATCCTCCTTCCCCAGATCCCTTCCTCCCATCCGCTTATCCCCCCCCTCCCCTCCCCCCCCCCTCCCGCCCCTTCTTTCCCCCACGCCTGCCTTTCTCCCATCCCCATCCGCATCCGCCTTTCCCCTATCCCTCCCCCTCATCTGTATTCCACACATCCTCCTACCCCCCAATTCCCCTTGCCTCTTCCCCACATCCGCCTTCCCCCTCCCCATCCGCCGCCGCCCATCTTCCTGCCCCGATCAGCCTCTCGCCCGCCAATCCCCCATCCGCGTTCCCAAATCCGCATTCCCGCCAATCCCCCATCCGCGTTCCCCAAATCCGCATTCCCGCCAATCCCCCATCCGCGTTCCCCAAATCCGCATTCCACTATCCCCCCGTGTTCTCACCATCTTTCGATGCCCTTCAAATTTTGAGGTGATTTGATTTGTGAGGCGCCTCAAATATCATCTCGTTGCCCCTCAAATTTTCCATCCGCCTTCATCCAATCTACCTCCCCCACATCCACCGCCACCCATCCGCCCCCCCCCCCCCCATCCGTGTTTCTCATCCGCCTTCCTCCCACAAAGCTTTCTCCCCATCTGCCCATCCCCCATCCACTTCCTTCGGAAAGAATTAGAAGTATTGGGGTTCGAATCCCCCATCCGCTCTCTCTGTCTCCTCTCCCTCCTGCATCCCCTTGGTTCACAGTGCTGGTAACGGCGTGAGTGCTGTGTGTGCTGGCCGTGGCAGCGTGACTGCTGTGGGACCAACACTCGCATGCTGCCCCCTATCTCTACCCCCTCTCTATTCCCTCCCTCTCGCCTCCTTCTCATCCTCCTCCCAGCGCCCTGGTTCACAGTGCTGGTAACGGCGTGGGTGCTGTGTGGGCTGGCCGTAGCAGCATGGCTGCTGTGGGACCGGCACTCGCAGTACGAGAGCCGCAGGGAGGAGGCGCTGGGCGTGTGGTGCAAGGAGCGCGCCCTCATGCTGCAGCAGCTCGTGCTGACCAATGTGGGGCAGACCCAGGTAAGACTGGAGCGGTGCCTGCATTCTTCCCTTACCTCCTGCTGCATAAGTGCTGCTCTCTGCTCTCCTGCCCTCATTTCCTCATGTCCTCATGCTGCAGCAGCTCGTGCTCACCAGTGTGGGGCAGAACCAGGTACTCTTGGGTTGGGTGTCAGCACTTGCAAGGTTGGTGAGAGGAGGTGCCCTCATTTAGCATCCGTTCATTCTTCTTGTTTACTCGCTTACCCGCTTTCAAAGTATTGTCGTTGGTGCTGTGCTGCTATTTGCGGTGGTTGTTGTTGTCGTCGTCGTCGTCGTCGTTGCTGCTGATACTGCTATTATCATTGTTGCTGTTGCTGTTGTGATGGTGGTTGTCGTCGTCGTCGTTGCTGCTGCCGCTACTGCTACTGTTGCTGTTGCTGTTGTCGTCGTCGTCGTCGTCGTCGTCGTTGTTGCCTTGTCGTTTTCATTGTCGCTGTCTCCGCCTTTATCGTCGTTGACGTTGCTTGCCTTGACATTATGATTGCTCCTACGGGCGCTGTTGGGGTTGTCGCTGTCGTCGTCATCGTTGTCGATTCCCTTTTCTCTCATTCAGTTCTTTTGCCTTGTTTTCGGTATCGACCATGCCGAGGCAGGCGGGAGAGTGAGACATCGACAAAGCGTTTCATATAAATTACTCAAATATTAATGCCCTAATGTTGTTATCTCTATGTTCCCATGCACAGACCCTCACAGGCATCATATCAGTGATGGGCAAGCCGGGGCGGAGGGGCAAGTGGGAGCTGGACAGGTGTTTGAACGGCAGCACGTGGGAGGCTTACCTTACTCGCATTGCCTATGCTCGCCCGGGGAACACGGGGGCACTCTCCTGTGTCTTTGTCCCGGACGAGGAGAGGTGAGAGGGGGAGGAGGGTGAAGGGGGGGGGTGGTTGGTGGGGAATGGTTGCTTGGAGGTAGGAAGGGATAACGGAATTCAGCCTCCATTACTGAGGGGGCGCTCTCCTGTGTTTTTGTCAGGGATGAGGAGAGGTGAGCGAGAGGGGGGAAGAGAGGGGGTGGAGGGACAGCAACATGTATCCGTTGATGCTGGCCTTGCTTAGTTTGTCTTCTTCCAGTGACTTAATCACCTATGTCCTTCCCTGTTCATGGCACACTATAAGGAAACAACTTTTCTTTACTCCGCGTCACACTGCATACCGCGTACACGACTGTTCCCGCCACTGTACACTCAGCTGTAGTCTGTTACCACCTCGCGACACTCGCCTCGGCACTGCTCCCGCCAATACAACCATTGCGCACCCGGCTCTACGGTTCGTCCTTGGCATTAGGCTTGAGGGGCACGTTTTCGCAAGCGCGTTACCGTTGCTGTCTTCGTTCACTCGATTGCACTCGTAACATGCACACAATCCCCCAGTCCTTCATAAGAGCGACAGTATGGCAGCATAAGAGACAACACTCGCAACGTAAATGCTCGCCACCCATCTGCTGCCCTCCAATCCTCCAATTCTCCAATTCTCCACAACAGTAGCAATGAACGGCGTACAGAATGTTAATCTCATAAAGCGATTCTCCTTTTTCGTAATTCTTCACGGTTTATCCCACACTCAGCAATGCAGGGCCTCTTTTGAGCGATGGTACGGCAACGTCAGGGACAACAACAGTCTTCTCTTTCTGACTCTCTCCCGATTCTCCCCCCAAACATCCCTACAGGGCCTCTTTTGAACGGCAGTACGGCAGCATTAGAGACAACACTCTAAACGTCAGTGCCCACCGCCCCATCTACTGCCCCAAGATTCTCCAATTCTCCACAACAGTGGCCATGAACGGCACGCAGAATGTTGATCTCATGAAGCGGTTTCCCACAGAAGTTCCGCTGGCTGTGGAGGGAAGGCCTTTCTACACGTGGCCATACCCCCTGGCTAATTCGTCAACCAATGCTGGGTTCGGTGAGCTGCAAATCTCTTTGAGCCTATGAGAAACAAGTTGTTTGTGTTCTTGGAGTGCTGGCAAGCAGATCTCACCAGTTTTTTTTGTGTGTGCAGTGTTTAGCGGTCTAGAGTAAGGTTTTCGGCTCTAAGTTTTTGCAGAAGAACGTTTTGTCTCCTATCGAAGTGGATGGATGTTCGCCCTTGAAAATAATCAGATGAATGCCTTTGTTTTTTGTCTCTTCCTCTCACCGACGTTGACACAGGTGTGGCCTTTCCTCTTCGCCGCACTCTCCCACCAAGCCAGTCGCAGCATGGAGCCGTGTCGATGGTGTATGGGACGCTTGCTGCATCCGTCGACGTGACATCCATTGCAAAGAAAGTCGTGCAAGAGTTGTACGCACCTGGTGAGTGTCATGCCAACCAACCCTCCCGTGATTAGAACCGAACCGATAAATACCTTGCCCAAAGCTGCCGCTTATCAACCACAATCGGGACCATGGTAATCTGGCTATTTAACCACTTATATTTCCCATATTGTGGTTAAGCATTCTGGAAACCTCTTTCTCTCTCGCCCCTCCTTCCCTCCCATCCATCCAGACCCATCAAAGTCCTTTGAGCTCTATGACGTCGCGAACAGATCGAACCTCTTTGCCATAGTCTCGCCCGTACCGCTGCACATCTACGTCCTCCCCACCGATCCCGCCGCTCGCATGCTTCCCTCGCCTGCATCCGAAACCCGCCCCTGGGAAAGGCCGGCTATGGTGCCTCTGGAGGAGCTGGGGGCTGGCGTGCGCAAGTATGAGGTTTGGTGCAGGTGAGTCATCAAAACGTATCAAGATTCATGTCAGGAGTAGCAGCAAACCTTTAGAACACGCTTAAGGAAAAGGATCAATACTGTAAGAAACTTGTTCTTAGAAATTCAAGAAAATTCAAGACATATCAGGTCTGGTGCAGGTGAGTCATCAAAACCTATGTGGGTTGAACATACATCCAGACCCATCAGAGTCCTTTGAATGTAGAGGTTGTTGCCTTGAACAGGTAAGGCAAGCCTTGGCTCTCTGTTTCTGTTACGAGCGTACATTTGCACAAAAACCATATTATTTAGCGGGCGATATTTTTGTTGGGGAATTAGGACTGTCAAGACCAGCATTGTAAAGAGGCACATACGACGCGTGTGTTGTGCAAAGCCTTCCTATTTTGTTACGCATAATGAATCTGCACAACCTACCCATCATTCTCCCTCGTCCAGGCACTCAGAGCCTCAAAGCACGTGGCAATCGTGGGGCATCCCCATCCTCATCCCCCTCATCCCCCTCATCGCCCTCCTCGCCCTCATCACCTTCCTGTGATCCCCCCATCCCCTCCCTGTCGCATCCAGACACACACAACCTTCCAGCACGTGGCAATCGTGGGGCATCCCCATCCTCATCGCCCTCTTCGCCCTCCTCCTCGTGCTGCTCGTGCTGGTAGCCGCTCGGATCCAGCGAGCCCAGTTCTTCCAGACGCATCAGCAGATGGCAGTTGCAGACAAACTGAGGAAGGAAGCAGAGGACGCAGAGGCGTCAAAGAGCATGTTCGTGGCGTGCATGTCTCACGAGCTCAGGACGCCGATGACTGGGATTATCGGTGCGTTCGAACACATTTTTTATAGCCGCATGCAAGGCCTACCATGAAACAGTTGTTAAGGCATCAGTGCCACTTAAAACATCACACATCAAGCTGGTTTTTGAGAATTCTAAAAAACCAGGTAGTGCCACTTTAAAACCGGAGTTCCAAGAGTTTCTAACTTAGGAAGCTTGGTTGGGGCAAGGGACGTCAGTGGCGCGCGAACCAGGGTGGTGTCGCGATTTGTGGACGCCGATCGCAGAGCCTGAGTACCTCGCGTGTGTAACCAGATTTTGAATGCAACGTACGAAATAACTTGCAAAAGTTTCGGACGGGCTTCAAATTTTTGTGCGAAATCGTCACTCCTATCGCTCTCGCTAGTACAGTAATTTCGCGTGGCGAAATTTGTCCCGACAATTTGCGAAGTGAGTCAATATCTACAGGGTCACACCCAACCACAGTTAGGAAGCTTGAGGCAGTTTAGGCCTGTTTGGGACTCCGGTTTTAAACATCACACCTCAAGCTCGTCCTCCATATGATGTTCTTGTGACATCACTCACCCTTATCATACCACTAACAACCATGACTCTCCCACCGCCGTAACCAACTGATTACAAACCTTAAGCATGCTATCTTTTCCTTGATACTATGCACCTTCTTTCATGCATCCCTCTCTTTGCCTCCCTCCCACCAGGCATGATCGATGCTTTGGCAGACATGTCTCTCCAAAGCTCTCAGCTATCGGACCTCCTCACGGCACGGGGTTGTGCGATGGATGCACTGCATCTGGTCAACCGCGTGTTGGACCTGGCGAAGCTGGAGGCAGGCAAGGCGGTGGTGGATGAGACGAGCTTCATGGTGCGCGAGTGGCTTCACGAGGCAATGGATTGGCATATGGAGGTGGCACGTTTCAAAGGCATAGAATGTGAGTCGCTCATTGAGGCAAGCTGTGGTGTTGGATGAGACATGCTTCATTGTGCGTGTGTGACTTCGTGCAGCGTTGGAGTGGCATGTGAAGGCGTCACGTTCCAAAGTAGAATATAACTGGCTCATTGAGGTGGGTGGATTGGATCTAGTGAAGTGTAATTGTGTTACTTTAACCTATGGTCAGTATTGAATGTAAGTAGTTCATAAATCTTATACTCAATAATCAGGCATCTCCAGTGCAGGTCTTCTGACACCCCTCCTCTCTCAGGGATGCCTTAGGAAACGGCACAGCAGCACTGTCAGCATGTGCACACATGGGGATTCGAACCCGATACCTTTGCTCTGATACCATGTCAAAGTCTCAGCCGTTTGACCATTTGGATGGAATGGCTTGTTGAATAGCGAGTGAGTGCGTTCATAAACTCCAAGGCAACCCTTCCCTATGATCAATTGGGCATCTTCCGTGCAGGTTCTGTGACAGCTCATTCAACATAACCCGAGATGCGTGAGGGTCGACCTAGACCTATCTCGGCCCGACTCCTTTCAGCGACCCTCGGGACCGGGCTTGACCCACCATCGTGGCCAGCCTGGGTAGGCCTGATGCGGTGCGGTCCAGGTCTGGGCCATGCCCATGCCTACCGTGTATGGATTTCCATTGGTGCTGACTGTATTTTCCTTTTCTTTTGTTTCTCCGCCGAACCTCCAGTGCACGGCATTGTGGACGACAACGTTCCGGGCCACATCGTTGGCGATCAGATGCACCTCTCCAAAGTGCTCAAAGAGATCACAGGTACTTGGAACGCATGTACTGTAATACGTTGACTCTTGAGTCGTCTTCTGTGAAGTTAAGTCATAAAATGGGTGTACATGTTGTTCTCTTCCAGTTCTCCTTTCTTACATGTGCATTGTGTGGTTTCTCTTTTGCACACCACCACCTTGGTTTCCTTTCAGATAACGCCGTGAAGTTCACGGAGCAAGGCCGCGTGACAGTGCGGGTGTCCCTGGTGCCTCGAGGGACAAGCTTGCAAGACGCCCTTCGTTGCCAGGGTAAGCAGATTCGTGACCATCGACAGATCTGTGTGACGAAGTGGCAAGGCAGGTCAATTGATTCTCGATTGCCCCCTGTCTCTCCTTTTTCGTCAGCTGCTCTGCTCTTCCCCTTGCTTCATGCCCACGCATTGACAGTAACTAGCACACGTCTCATGTTTGTCATTCCTCACGCCCTCTCTATCTTTCCTTCCATTTTTGCCTTGTTCCTCCAGGTCTTTTCACAACCGCCGCTCATGCACCTGCTTCCACTCTCACCGTCTTGGCTGCCTGGTTCTCCTCATCATGGCACTGGCTGAAGGAGGCCGTGAGGAGATTGCCAGCAGCAGCAGCAGCAGCAGCAGCAGCAGCAGCAGCAGCAGCAGCAGCAGCAGCAGCAGCAGCAGCAGCAGCAGCAGCAGCAGCAGCAGCAGCAGCAGCAGCAGCAGCAGCAGCGGCAGCGGCAGCATCAAGTGCATCAAGCAGCCCTTCAAGGGATCGGCCTGCTGTGCTGGTGGTGACGTGCCGGGACTCGGGATGTGGCCTGCCAGCGTCCCTCCACGGAATTCACGGCAGCAAGGAGCCTTCGCACTTTTCGCTAGCAGTGAGTTGTTGTTCATTAGCTCTCTTGTCGCTGGTGGTGTCATGCCGGGACTCGGGGTGCGGCCTGCCGGCGTCTCTCATAAGAATCCACCGCAGCAGGGAAGGGGCGTCGCACTTCTCGCCAGCAGTGAGTTGTTATTCATTAGCTCTCTTGTCGCTGGTGGCGTCGTGCCGGAATTTGAGATGCGGCCTACCAGTGTCCGTCCTTTGAGTTAATGGCAACAGGGGCGCGTCACACTGCTCGCGTGCAATGGGAGTGAGGCTGTTTCTGACTCTCATCGGCTCTCATGTTCCATGTATGAGGTGCAGCGCAGTGACGGAACGTGATCTACTCGCCTTATCTGTCTTGCCTTTGCACTGGACCTCCCCTCAACCCTTCCCTCCTCAATTCCTCAGTCCCCCCTCGCCCTCGCTCTCTTCCCACCTTGGTCTTCGCAACCTTTCTCTCTCTATCCTCATTCACTCCCACGTCCCGTCTCACTTCTGCTCCCTCCCTGACTCTTCGGTCACTGCTGTCACTCATCCTTTCCCTATCCCACATGGCATGGCACGGCATGGCACCCCACCACCCAGGAGTTGCACGAGACAGGGAGTGGATCAGGGGCATCACTTGGCCTTGTGCTCATGCACCAGATTGTGAGTTTCCTTTCCACTTCATGTTCTATGTATCAATAAATAGTATACAGTACACATGCATAATATATGTATATAAATATTGTGTTTATTCTTTTTTCAGAAGCATCATTTTGGAATGCATGTGTATCGAAGCAAGGTCTATTTATGCTGCCATAATTTTGCCACTTTGCAAATGCACGACAAGCCATAAGGATGTACTCGACTGGCTTATTTGCGCATGTTTGTATGTAATGTAGTGCAATGTAATGTAATGTATTGGGATAACAGTCTCTTGTGTTCGTTTCAACCATCTCCCACTTCCAAGCATGGCCGTGGTTGCACATTTATAGTCATGTCCGCATGTCTTAAGGGAACATAGCAGAGTAGGTAGCAACATTGGAGAAATGCAGAAACTCCAAGAAGGCACCTCAGTAAGGACGAATGAATATGCGAGCTTTGGAGGGAAGTGGTGAAATAGAAGCAATGAGTGCAACAATTGACCTCCACCATTTTTTTTGTTGTACTTCTTTCTGACGACTCGCAGGTGACTCTAATGAAGGGGGAGATTGCCTTTGATTCCCAGCCTGGCTGTGGCTCCACTGTGGCGTTTTCCGTGCCCGTGGCCGTTCCCTCGCTACAAGAACACTCTTTGCTACAAGAACACTGCTCGCTACAAGAACACTCGCTACAAGGACACTCGATACAAGAAAACTCGCTACAAGAACACTGCTCGGACGAGGAACCTCATTCATTGGAGCTGCTAAACGTGCCGAGTCAGCAGCAACACCATTATCATCAACTTGAGTCATGCCAGCAGCAGCAGGAGCAGCAGCAAGAGGAGCAGCAACAGCAGCAAGCATCCCAGCAGCAACTGGGACGATCACTAGCAGGGACACGGTTGGTGGGCAGCGAGGGAGAGTGCTCAAGCGCCCTCAACACTCCTGAGCCGCTCACTCAAAAGTCACCTCGGCCCCTCAAAGGGACAGGGAGGGTTGAAAACGAGAAAGACAGCTCAAGAGCCATCGAGAGAACAGCAGAGCAAGAGAGCAGGAGGAGCGTGAGAAAGAGCATGAGCGCAATCGAACACCCTCCTCGACCCGGTTCTGCCAATGCAGCCACTGGAGGGGCAGCTGCTGGGTCAGGCTTGCGGGCGGCGGCGGATGAGGCGGTGACGCGGGCGTGGGTGGGGGGGCTGCGAGTGCTGGTGGTGGACGACACGCCCGTCAACCTCCTCGTGGCCCGCCGCTCCCTCGCCCGCTGGGGCGCCCAAGTCACCACCGCCTCCCACGGGCAACAAGCAGTGGACTTAATCGCTGCTGGGGTCAAGGAGAGCAGAAAGCTGGACGACGGGAGAGGGCAGAAGGCCGTTGACCCAATTGCTGCTGGCGTGGCAGGGAGGATGGGGGAGGAAGCTGCTGGCTTACTGGCTGCTGGGTTGGTAGAGGGAAGAGGGGAGGAGGGGGAGAGAGGGGCGATTGGCGAGCTAGTGAGAGCAGGTGCTGGGAGGGCTGGCGAGATGGTTGAGAGTAGAGGCAAGGGGATAGCGGCTGGGGAGTTAGTTGGAAGCAGTGCGGATAGTAGGGATGGGTGCGGGGCGAGGGGAGTGAGCGAGAGAGGAGCGGATGAGAGAGGAGGGAGTGGAAGAGGAAGGGGTGGAAGAGGAGAGGATGATAGAGCAGGAAGTGCATCGTTGCAGCATGGCTTCGACTTGGTTCTCATGGACCTGCAGATGCCGGGCATGGACGGGTGAGTGGTGGTGAGTGGTTGTGAGTGGTGGTGAATGGTGGTGAGTGGTGGGCATGGATGGGTGAGTGACGACTCATGCACGCACACCCTCATGGTTATGCCATGACAGGTGAGTGGTGAACATTGGTGTTTATGCCTCATGGTACTTCTCATGCTTATGTCTCAAGCTGTCACATGTTAAACCAAGTCAAACGTTCCCTCCTTGCTTCCCCTACAGGTTCGCAGCGACAGAGGCGATTCGAGCTCTGGAGAGAAAGTTTATGTTGGAGAGGGCACCAGAGGCGCACCTGATGACAGATGTGGGCCCAGCAGCAACAGCAGCAGCAACAGCGCCAAGAGCAGCAGGGCCTGCAACAGGTATAGAGGGGCCTCAAAACTCAGCAGCAGCAGGCCCTGTAACAGGTGCAGTGGTGCCAGGGGCGACGTCAAGGCCTGGAGGCATGGCGAGCAGAGAAGGGCTGACTGGGACAGAGGGGATTCTACAGCAGGGAGGGAGATGGGAGGGCGCAGGGAGGGGAGCAGCAGCGCCCAGGGAGATGCACAGGCGGGGAGTGAGCTGCGGAGGGGACTGGGGGGGACGTATGGGGGGGAGAGGGAGCAGGGGAGAGAGTTTTTTGCCACGGGAGACAGGAGGAATAGGGCAGATTGAGGGGGCTTCTAGGGCTGGTTCGTCTTCTCTGAGCGCCTCTCCCCTAAAAGCCTCCAACGCTGCTGCAAACCCTGATGCTGCTGCTCCTCCTGGTGACAGCCAGCCCTTGTCTCTGCGGGTGCCCATAGTGGCTCTGACAGCAGACGTGGATCGCGGAGTGGTGCAGAGGTGTGCAGAGGGGGGGTTTGACGGTGTGCTGCAGAAGCCAGTGGATGCCCACCTGCTCGCCGCCCACCTCTCCCACATACACTTCCATCGCTCCCTCCACCAGTAGCACTCAGAAATTAGCAGTCCCTCCCAGCGCACTCAAAGGCCAAATGCTTCCACCACCCCCTTAGGTGAAAGGAGCCACTGGAGTGACTTCTATACCACACTTCCACCACTCCCTCGAGCTATAGCAGTCCCTCCCAGCGCACCTCTCCCACATGCACTTCCTCTGCTCGCTGCAGCGGTAGCAATCGCTCCCAGCGCACTACTCAAAAGCCAAACGCACTTCCATCGCTCCCTCCGGCGGAAGCAGTCATGCTAGCGATAATACTCACTCATGCGCCCTTGTACGCAATGCAGCAAGCTCTCATGCCAACAACGACCAGAATTACAAGTCCCACGGTCTAGTCTGGACCCATGCATGTTTCTTGGTGGAATTGAAAATACACAAACCTGCAAGAACAGCTCTCTTGTTCAACATACCTATCAGGCACTACTTCCATCCAAGTTGACTTGTGAGTCGACTCAAAAGTTTACTTCCAAGTGCCACACCCTTGTGCAGCAAACAAACATCAAGTCGAGGGGCACAGCACAGTGCTTTACTTAGTGTTGAACACTCACGCCTTTTGAGTCTACTCAAAAGACACGTTGAGGCACTTAATTTGTCCCGTGGGGCGCGCTCAACTATTGATGCAGGGCATGTGTAACTAAGCCTCAGGGCATGCAGCAGAGCACGCTGAAGAAACAAAAGCACGCAGTGTCTCGGCATGATTGCATCAGAGTCAGACTTACGTAAGAGAAAAGGCTGCGGGCCACAACCTTCCTGAGAATTGTAGAAAAACAGATACAGACTAACGTAAAAAGATGGGTTGTGCGCCACAACCTTTTCGGAATCACCACTCTGTACAAGCAATATGGGTGCCACAAAAACCTTGCGTCACAAAATGCGTTGTAAAGCGCTGCACCGCCTTCAACCTAGCGAGGCACCGCATTGTATTTCGCCTTTTGTGACCCACTGCAAAACCACACCTGGAGTTTGATACAAAAAGAGAACTTGGGATTCAATTCAACCCGGGTCCAATTAGAAAGAGCACCTGGTGACCCCCGTCCCCTTCAGGTGATTCTCAAGGGGATGACGGCAAGAAAAACCCCTGTTCTGGTGCTAGGTTGAACACGGTAGGCCTGGCCTGTCCTTCCTCGTCGCTCCTTCCTCTTCGCTCCTTCCTCGTTGCAAAACCGTCTCCAACAAGTCAGGAGCGGACTGCGAAGCCGCCTGTCCGTGGACAATCTGCCAATACTTTGTGTGGGACTGACCTGTGATGCAGCCTGAGTGAGTGAGTTGCGGACGGGGTGTGAGTGTGAGTGTTGGAGTGTTGGAGCGTGTGAGTGTGTGAGTGTTGGAGTGTTGGAGCGTGTGAGTGTGTGAGTGTTGGAGTGTTGGAGCGTGTGAGTGTGTGAGTGTTGGAGTGTTGGAGTGTTGGAGCGTGTGAGTGTGTGCGTGTTGGAGTGTTGGAGCGTGTGAGTGTTGGAGTGTTGGAGCGTGTGAGTGTGTGCGTGTTGGAGTGTTGGAGCGTGTGAGTGTGTGCGTGTTGGAGTGTTGGAGCGTGTGAGTGTTGGAGTGTTGGAGTGATTGCTACCACCAGAGCGAGTGGTGGAAGTGCAATCAGCGTCCAGCCGGTCAGTAGTTTGGGTGGGTGGCTTTTTGGGTAGTGCGCTGTGAGTGACTGCTACTGCTGCGGGTGAGTGCTATTGCCTGAGAAAGGGACAAAAGTGCATTTGGGTTTTGAGAAGTGCGCTGTGAGTGACTGCTACTGCTGTAGCGTGTGGTGGAAGTGCAGTTGGGAGAGGTGCGTTAGGAGGGACTGCTTATGACCGAGTGCTACCGTCCAAGTGATTGGTGGGAGTGCATGTGGGAGAGGTGGGCGGCGAGCAGGTGGGTGCGGAAAGAATGAGTGATGGAGTGACTGCTATCGCCCGAGGGAGCAGTGGAAGTGCAGTGAGGGTGAGTGCTACCGTCCCAGAGACTGCTATCGCCCGAGGGAGCAGTGGAAGTGCAGTGAGGGTGAGTGCTACCGTCCCAGAGACTGCTATCGCCCGAGGGAGCAGTGGAAGTGCAGTGAGGGTGAGTGCTACCGTCCCAGAGACTGCTATCGCCCGAGGGAGCGGTGGAAGCACATTTGGGAGAGGTGGGCGGCGAGCAGGTGGGCATCCACTGGCTTCTGCAGCACACCGTCAAATCCCCCCTCTGCACACCTCTGCACCACTCCACGATCCACGTCTGCCGTCAGAGCCACTATGGGCACCCGCAGGGAGACAGCCTGGGCACTCAAAGAAGCAGCAGCAGCAGCAGCAGCAGCAGCAGCAGCAGCAGCAGCAGCAGCAGCAGCAGCAGCAGCAGCAGCAGCAGCAGCAGCAGCAGCAGCAGCAGCAGCAGCAGCAACAGCAGCAGCAGCAGCAGCAGCAGCAGCAGCAGCAGCAGCAGCAGCAGCAGCAGCAGCAGCAGCAGCAGCAGCAGCAGCAGCAGCAGCAGCAGCAGCAGCAGCAGCAGCAGCAGCAGCAGCAGCAGCAGCAGCAGCAGCAGCAGCGTTAGCAGCTTCTAGGTGAGAGGCTTGCAGAGCAGACGAACCAGCCCTAGAAGCTCCCTCAATCTGCCCTCCTTGTCCTCCCATTTCCCTGTGCACAAATCTCTCTCCCCTCCCCCAGTCTCCTCCACAGCTCATGCCCCGCCTGTGCATCTCTCCCGCCACTGCTGCTCTCCCCCCTGCGCTCTCCCATATGTCCCCCTGCTGTATGCTTCCCTGCTGCACGCTTCCCTGTTGCCCTCCCATACTTCCCTCTGAAGCCAATGCTCCTTGCTGCTCCCTTTCCTCCTCCCTCCCCTGCTCTCTTCCCTGCTGTGCCTCTTGTGCCATGCCCAGCATAAGCTTTCTCTCGTATGCACGGATCGCCTCTGTTGCTGCGAACCTGCCAAGGCAAGGGAGGGGCAAGACAGGGGCAATACAGGGTTTCTTTCCTGCTGCACCTCTTGTGCCATTTCCAACATAAGATTTCTCTCGAAAGCTCAGATCGCCTCTGTTGCTGCGAATGTGGCAAGGCAAGGGAGGGAAAATATAGGCTCGCACTTCAAGGTTCACACTTTGCTATGGGAAGGGGAAGGGAGGAGCAGCACAGTTACACACTTGGGCCTCAGTTGTTGCACCTTGCTTCATGACCCACCAATCCTTGACCCCCACTCACCACCACTCACCACCACCCACCACCACTCACAACCACTCACCCGTGTATGCCCACCCACCACTCATCACCACTCACCACCACTCACCACCACCCACCACCACTCACCCGTCCATGCCCGGCATCTGCAGGTCCATGAGAACCAAGTCGAAGCCATGCTGCAATGATGCACGGCCTCCTTCATTCCCTCCTCTTCCGTCCCCGCCTCTCCCATCCACTCCTCGTGCATCACCTCCTCTCTCACTAGCTCCCCTTGCTCCACTTGCGCCAAACCCCTCCCTACTATCCGCACTGCTCCCAACCAGCTCCCCAGCCGCTATCTCCTTGCCGCTACTCTCACCCATCTCACCAGCCCCCCGAGCACCTGCTCTAACTAACCCGCCAAGCGCCTCCTCTCCTCGGGAGGTGGTGGAGACAAGGTCAGCAGCAATCAACTCAAGTGCCTCCTCCCCTCGGGAAGCAGTGGTGACTCAGGCGCCCCAGCGGGCGAGGGAGCGGCGGGCCACGAGGAGGTTGACGGGCGTGTCGTCCACCACCAGCACTCGCAGCCCGCCCACCCACGCCCGCGTCACCACCTCATCCGCCGCCGCTCGTAGTCCCGTGGTTGTGGCGGTGATTTCGGCTACAGAGACGGATCGACGAGACCTGTCTCTTGCTCTCCCGCGTGCTGCTCTTTGATCTAAGACTGTTGAGACTTCTCCTGCACTGCCTACCCTCCCCGTTCCCGCTAGTGATCGCTCATGTTGATGCTGTGACTGCTGCGGCTGCGGCTGTTGCTGCTGCTGGTTCAGGTTCTGCTGAACCACCTGATAATTCTCCTAGCTGTGCTTTTCTTCACACTCCTCCCTTGATTCCAGCCCATGTTTCTGTGTACTGCTGCCAACACCTGAAAAAACTCCTGAACCTGTATCCTGCTCTCGAGTACTGCTGGAACCACCTGGGGAATTGCCTGACCCTGTTTCCTGACTCTCACAGAACCATGACGCCCCCCCTTGCTGCTGCTGACTCTGCAAGTCTTGCGATTCCAACACTTCTGCTTCCTCATATGAGCAGTGTTCTTGTAGCGAGGAGTGTTCTTGTATCGAGGGAACGGCCACGGGCACGGAAAATGCCACAGTGGAGCCACAGCCAGGCTGGGAATCAAAGGCAATCTCCCCCTTCATTAAAGTCACCTGAGGGTTACAAAAGAGAAAGTAGTAAACTAAGCCACGTCATGTTGAAGGCATGACATTGTCACATTGGTATGCCAGCATTGCACTGTAGTGTGTGCATTACTCCCTTATAAGACATGTTTGAAGCTACAGTTCTCAATGTCCTAACGACACTCTCAAGGCTCAAATTTCCGCCACTACCAATCACATTCTCAATTGGCCTTGTGTTGAAGCTCTAGAAGTCTGCTTTTGGATCGACAAAAAAAAAATTCTGCCACTACCAAAAAAAAACGGATCATCATGAAGTGGCCACTCTCCATCTGGTGCATGAGCACTCACCATCTGGTGCATGAGCACTCACCATCTGGTGCATGAGCACAAGGCCAAGCGATGCTCCTGGCCCACTCCCTGCCTCGTGCAACTCATGGATGGTGGGGTGCCATGCCATGCCATGCCATGCCATGCCATGCCATGCCAAGCCACGCCAAGGGGTTACAGCCAGGATGAGATCCATGGGATGGGAGGGCATGGGATGGGATGGGATGGGATGGGATGGGATGGGATGGGATGGGATGGGATGGGATGGGATGGGATGGGATGGGATGGGATGCGATGGGATGGGATGGCATGGCATGGGATGGCATGGCATGGCATGGCATGGCATGGGATGGGATGGGATGGCATGGCATGGCATGGCATGGCATGGCATGGCATGGCATGGGATGGCATGGGATGGGATGGGATGGGATGGGATGGGATGGGATGTGATGGGATGGGATGGGATGGGATGGGATGGGATGGGATGGGATGGGATGGCATGGCATGGCATGGGATGGGATGGGACGGGACGGGACGGGACGGGACGGGACGGGACGGGACGGGACGGGACGGGACGGGATGGCATGGCATGGCATGGCATGGGATGGGATGGGTTGGCATGGCATGGGATGGGATGGGACGGGACGGGACGGGATGGGATGGGATGAGATGGGATGGCATGGGATGGAATGGCATGGGATGGGATGGCATGGGATGGGGTGGATGGGAGCAGTATGAGAGCAGGGTATTACAAGTGTCGGATCCAGGTAGGACGGGGTTGGGTTGCGAGAGAAGGGACGTATGAGGGAATGGACAGGTAAGAGGGAATGAGAGGCGAGAGGCACAAGGGGGTTGAAAACGCAGGGAAGTGGGATGCGAAAAGAACACACTGAGTCTGTTTTTGAGGCAGCAGGCAGCCCAAAAAACGGCACAAGAACGGATGGAAAAAGGAACCCTGAATCTGCTTTTGAGTCGACTAAAAAAAATAAACGGATGGATGAACGACTTCTGAATCTGCTTTTGAGTCGACTAAAATAAATAAACGGATGGATGAACGAATTCTGAATCTGCTTTTGAGTCGACTAAAAAAAATAAACGGATGGATGAACGACTTCTGAATCTGCTTTTGAGTCGACTAAAAAAAATAAGCGGATGGAGAAAGGAACCCTGAACCTGAGTGTTAGGGCCCCTCCCAGGCAGCACCCCAAATCCCGTCACGACACCACCAGCAACCAGCAACGTAAGAGCTAACACTCACCGCGAGCGAGAAGTGCGACGCCTCTCTACTGCTGTGGACTCCGAGGAGTGACGCTGGCAGGCCGCATCCTGAAGAATTCCACCTCCCACAGGTGACCTGAAACTAGTTTTGAGGCGCCTCAAAACTAGACCTCCCACAGGTGACACGAAACTTACTCCCTCATTCACACTCACCGCAAGCGAGAAGTGCGAAGCCTCTCTGCTGCTGTGAACTCCGAGGAGAGACGCTGGCAGGCCGCATCCCGAGTCACGGCATGACACCACCAGCACAGCTGGCCGCTGCCCATTGGCCCCCTCTGGACTCCTGGCATCCCCCCTCCCCTCCCTTGATCCACATAATGCGTTGCTAGTTGCACTTGCTGCTGCTTCTGGCAACGCCTTTGCAGCTTCCTTCAGCCGGCGAAATGTTGAGTAAGTCCAGGCAGAGGTCCAGCTAGTGAATGTGGAAGTGGGTGCACGAGGGACGGTGGTGGAAAAGCCTGGGGGAGAAAGGCAATAGCAAAGGGTCACGATTAGAGGGAATGCGTTGTTGACATGGCCATGGGCCTTGTGTCAATGCATGCATCATCTTAGAGAGGCACATAACGAAGTGGGCAAAGGTTGAAAGGTGCTCGCTGATGTCGATGCTTGCATTAATATGAAGAGGGGAATGAGCCCCACATTCTATTGTCAATGCTCGCATAGTCGCTTACCCTGGCAATGAAGGGTGTCTTGCAAACTTGTTCTGTGTGGCACCAGGGACACATGCACTGTCACGTGGCCTTGCTCCGTGAATTTCACTGCATTATCTGAAACATCCAACCCAAGCGGCGGTGTGCCAAAAAAAAAAGAAAAAAAAAAGGAAAAAAAAAATCGAAAAAAAAGAACCACTGACAACACACAACCACTGACTATGTTGATTGAGGAAAGCAAGTTTGCACCTACTTTCTGAACAATGGGATGGTCTAGCCTAGCTCGGCCAAGTTACCGACGTAATCGCCCGGATAGAAGACAGTGCCAACTTGAAGTCACAATTATATTTTATTCCTATAAGAAGAATTCTTTCTATCAAGGATCTTATTGCCAGTATTAGACATGACGCACATGCCTTATAATCGGCACAGGTAATATGCGCCACCAAAAAATAAAATAGCGCATACAATTGTATCTGTGCTCGCAAGAATTTGTGCACGAGCTGACTCAGATAATCCAGATTTTATCTCATCCTGCGTCAGCGGGCATTTCTTTTGACATGACATCCCCAATAATGATTGCCAAAGCCGGCAGCTTTGGAACATTTGTACTCATTTCGAGAACCCATCTGTAGGAGTTTCCATAGTGGTTAGAATAACACTGTGTATGATAAACCATTCCCATTTATAAGATTCATCAGGTACCTGTTTTCCCATATATTATAAGGAAAACTGTGTCCTTATTTGGCAGAATGAGTTCGACAGATATGTCTACAATCCACGCGATGACAGTAATGATTTTCAGGGCGTGAAGGGCCAATATGAGTCGCACCTGGTTTCTAAACGTAAGTTCAGTTAGGGTTTCAGGTTTAAAGGTTTAGGTTTCGCAGATGCCAGAGCGAGAATCCGACCACGAAATGCCAGATCCGTGAAGAGCTGGCGGCTTAAATGCCAGATTTGTGGGGATCAGGCGTCGAAATGCAAGATTTGTGGGGATCAGGCGTCGAAATGCAAGATTTGTGGGGATCTGGCGTCGAAATGCAAGATTTGTGGGGATCTGGCGTCGAAATGCAAGATTTGTGGGGATCTGGCGTCGAAATGCAAGATTTGTGGGGATCTGGCGTCGAAATGCAAGATTTGTGGGGATCTGGCGGCAGAATGAAAGATCCGAGGGGATCTGGCGGCGAAATGCGAGATTTGGTGGGATCAAAGAAATGCCCTGGAAAGTTTAAGCTTGGGTCAACGTCCCCATACATACTCCAAGATATCCTGCACAATAGGTCTTGGTAACCCGAAAGTACAAGGCCACTTTCAATGTGACGAGCGAAATGGCATCTCGAATCGAACATGATGGAGTTCGACTGAACCCTTCTCTTCTCAATTCAGCGAACATCCGAAAGTTCGACAGGGTACTGCCGAACTTCCAACCTCAGCATCGTAAGAAAATGTTTGGACGAACCGAACTTCTTCGGCTCGACAAAGAAGTAGGTTGTCAAAGCTCGGGAAACACCCTTCGGGTTCGGTTTGTGCTTACACTCGAGGTGGAACAATTGGAG